CATGGGCATTGATTCAACAGATTCAAGACAGAACAGAAAAGCAATTGCAGCCAACCATAATTGTCCCGGCTTTGCCCCAAATGCACAGCGACATGGAAGATGCCAAGTGGAGAGGTGAAAGGTTGGCAGAAATGCCGTGGAACTTGACAATTGTTCCATCTCCTTCCAGAACTTGATAAAGATCGTGATGAGAAGAAAACGAACAGTGTTTTCAGTCAGACACCCAAATGAAATCGAAAGATTTAATGAAGACTGAATGATTGATAATCGGAAGAAGAAACTGCACATAGTGGGACGTCTCCCGGTTGATTCGAGGTCGAGACTGATATGGACGGCGCTGAATGAAGAGAAAAGCCAGCAAAGGGAACCAAAATCGGAGAAAGACAGCCAAGGGAGGTTGAACCTGACGACCAAAACTCCCTAGTGAACATCGTTGACTCAAAGCAATCATCACTCGGACCATGTCGGCCATGTGATTCAAATTGCCGATCGGCCTCCGACACACTGCTCTCCTGATATGTCGGTTCAACTTCAACTCCATGGGATAAAATTATCAAAGACATCGAGAATGGGAGTGCTTGCATGCAAGAATGCTGGGAGAATATCTTTAAGATGGAAGGGGGTATAGAAATGAAAAGCACCAACACAGTCATGACAGGAATTCAAGTGGGGAGAACGTGACAGGTGTTTCTGATACACATAAGATCTCATCCCATACATGTCTTCCACACCGAAAATGGTGTCTTTCCGAAGGGTTATGAGAAGATGGCTATGTTTGTCTTCCCTGCTTGATAACGTCCCACAGAATGGGGAATGCGTCAGGAAGGAACATAAACTGCATGCCTACCTATCCTCCATGGTAGGCGAAATCGATACTGATGGAAAGGAGGATCAAAAGAATGAAGAAGGTGGATGAGGAATGTTGCGAAAGCCAAGCGAGATCAGCTTCAAGAATGGTAACAATGAGGCAGTGCCAACAGTCATGAGGAGAAGAAACAGCCCTGCACGGTTTGCAAAATAAGGTCTTCATCAAGAACTATCCAGGGGACACTAGTCTCAACCATTAACTTATACTCCAACCAGAGAAAATGAAGAGATGATACCTAGCTTCATGACGATGAGGAGATGCTCTCGATTCTCCTCTATTGAACCGTCGTGAATATGGCTTTACTGCAAACATCTCATCCGGACCTACGACTTCAGAAATTTTGCAATTATCGGTCTTACCAACAGGCGCATACAGCCAGTAACACTGTCCTATTCGTGACACTGACCCCCAATCGAAATACAAACACCCTCCCAGGGACCGTGGAAAAACTCGGAGACACGGGCAGCTAAGGCCCCCACAACTATGCCTTCGACGGAGGAGCGATAGGTAAGGTCACTGTCAACGAAGTACAGGCGGCGTTGAACGCTCTGTTCCGCGCCACCGGTAAGGGACAAGTACCAGCGTACGAGATCCGAGAGATTCGGCAGTGATGTCCTCCACACGCGCGAGTGCATCCTCTCTGTTGTCGACGTGTCCACAATCTAGTCACTTGCGAAACCGGCATCCAGGCGAGCCTGAATGTGATTCATTGGATGGGATAAAATGCTCGAGTACCAGGCTACAAGTTCCTTGAGCTGTACCGAAGCGAAAGATGTATTGTTCTGGTCAATGATACCTTTGCTATACCCAGACCAAAGATGAGGCGGAGGGATACTTCATTTGTAGCCATGGCTACTTACCATCCCTGAGACTTCGAGCTAGCGACTTGCAGGCATTAAATATGTGGTTGTGAAGATACTGGAATCAAAGCAGATATTTTGCGATCTGTGAGCACACTTTTGTCGTTAGTGGGTGGGAATATTAAAGAGCCTATGGACATGGTTCATTGGGAATACGTGAGCCACGGGTTGGGAATAAGATGGTCGGTGTGATGGGTTGAACTATCAGTCAGTTGGAAGTTACTTCATCGTCAGCGGATACTCTCCATTCAGTGGTGGCGTGTCTTATTATGACCATATGTATGACTTCCTCATCGGACGTTCCCGATTCCTCTTATAATGGATGGATGGACCATAACAGCCGTAAATCTATCTTATCCTTACGTACATTCCTCACACTCACAAATGTTTGGAAGAGGGAGATAACGGAATATTAGTTCCAATGGTTCGTCTATGTATATATCTATCGTGTACTCGATCATCATAGCTACCAACCATACTGTCTATATGTAATCTTCACCCCTCCACTTAAGAACAAGTAATGTGTAGAAATGGAATAGGATCAACACCTCCCCCGATAAACATCCACCATCTCCCCCCTCACCCTCCTCGCCAACGGCCACGCCCTACCCAACACCTGCAACGCGCCAACACCCAACTCAACCCTGGCTTTGAGCGACTGTTCCCTCCCTACACCCGTCTCATCCTCATGCTTTATCGCCAACGACGACGGCGGTCCACCCGCTAACGCGGCGACATGGACCACAGCCGCGATGGCCAGCGCACAGGTGAAGAATGGCGTTCGGGAGAGGACGGTACTAGGCAGTGTGGCCAGGTTCGAGAGGAGGTCTGCGGCGCGGAGAAGTTTCTGGGAGTGGGTGTTGGAGGCGGGGGAGTCGTGGTGGGGGATGTGTGTTGTTGTTGTTGTGGATAGGGGGAGGGATTGGAGGGTGCGGAGACGGGTACAGGATGATGTTGTTGTTGTTGATGAGGATGAGGCTAGGGTGGTTGTGGTGTTGGGGTGGTATGAGGAGAGGCGGATGGTGGAGTGGGGGTGGTGGAGGTAAATTAGGCTTCTGTTTTTGCTGTTTAGTTTCGTTCTCTGTTAGGGTTGCATGGGGAGAATGGGGATGGGGATGGCATACAGGTATGTTATCATTAGTGTTTGGAAGACCATTTCGTCGACGGTGGCGGTGTCATGTTCTGGGAGGGAGGAGGGCAGTCGCATTAGGGAGGTGGCGAGACGGGCGTCTAATGTCTCCGTTTGGAGTTCGGTGTCTGGGTCGAGGGATTGTGTGACTTGCAGGACCGCGCGGAGGTCTTGCGTTGCGAGGATGCGGTGGGTGAAGGGGGAGATGTGGTGGAGGTCGAGGACTGGGAGGGTGGAGAGGGTAGCGGGTGGTTTGGGGGGTTTGAGTTGCTGGTGGGATGTTAGTTGGATTTACTTTGTGGCTTGGTTATTTGGAGACTTGGTGTACCTCGAAATTATATGCCTTTTCGTCGCAGGGAAGCTGCATCTCGTCGTTGATCCATTTGTAGCTGGGCAGGATGGGCCCGCCGCCAAATGCGGATATCAGCCCTTCCACGACGACCAGTTCCCAGTAGGTGCGTCGCCAGCTTTCTTCGAGGATGGGACTCCCGCGGGAGTGGCTACGTGCGAACGAGGGACTGGTCATGTCGAGGTGACATGCTAATTGGATGGCCTCTTTGAGGAGTTTCCGGGCGGTCTCTTCATGCCCGTAGGAATGCTCGATAATGATCAGGAGGAGTAGTCCCTGGACTTTGAAGCCGTCGTTTGGGGCGGAAAGGGCCGTGTAGGCGGGCGCTCGGAAGGCATCGCTGAATCCGGGCTGGGGATAGTAGTGGCTGCCGATGTAGCGCATGATATGCGTGATGTATGCTGGGATGTGCTGGCAGAGTGAGGAAGCGAGACTGCGCCGCGGCAGGAGGATGGGATGTGAGCGATGAAAGTGGTGGTAGTAGAGCTGGATCATGGCATCGTGGGCGAGAGGTTCAGACTCGGCCACGGCGGGTGTGTATGCTGGTGGCGATGGAGGCAGGTCCTGGATAGGATCGGAATGTACATCGTTGAGGTCGATGTTGGGGTCCAGGCTGAGGAACTCTGGCTGGGTTGGTTAGTATGACATTCGTGCTAGTGGATTGAGAGGCATACATCTAGGTCAATGGTGTTGTTCAGCCAAGTGGTAAAGTCTGGTAGGAGATCGACATCGCCCGGGGGTGGATCAGGACTAGATCTATTCCGCAAGCCGCGCCGTGAACGAACATAGCGACAGTCACTGTTACTATTGTGGCAGCGAGTGCAGATGGGCATGCGAGCGTCGCATTTAACATGGCGACGACGACAGGGTATACAGGCGAGGGGAGAGGGTCGGTGGTCGGCCATGATGATGATTGTGCATGCACGAGCCAAGTGCAGGGTAAAGGGAGGCCATTGAAGGATATATTATTTACAATGTATGGAGGATTGGTGGTATGGAATGATCGGACTCCATCGAGGCTGATTCCCGAGTTCTGGAATCAGGCCTGCATGCCGAGATCCCCGAGGTTCGGGGACCATCACCAGCCCTGATCATTTGCAGACTTCGCCTACATTCAAGGAGTAAGTTGGCAGTGGCACTCCGATCGACTCAGCATGCAGTCGGTGAAATCCCCAGTGAATTTGCATACGTGAACAAGGCTATATCGTCCCAGCTAGCCACTGCCAGGGACAAGCCATACAGAACTCGAGGGGTTCGCCCGAGCAAGGCCTAGTGTGGAGAGGCCGCTGCAAGATAGGGCGGGTCGCCGGTGTACTTTTAGTCCAACAGAGGTGTATTTATTTGATGCAGGTGTTCCCCGACTGAAGGAAAGGACCCGAGAAACCGGATCAGCCGCCTAAACCCGGTGTGTTGGGATGTCACTCATCACACCATCACCTTGTCGATCGACATAATGTTTGGTTGTTGGTTGGCTACAGGCACTGGCGGAGATGTTCGCTGGGTGGTTCCCGATATGCATGTTCTCGGGCTTCACCTGACTATCTAACCCTCGACAGGCACATCTAATCAATGCATTTCCTCCACAATTAATTGTCGGCGAGGGGTCCGGTGCCACGGTGACACAAGCAAATTAACTTCCCACCCGGTCGGCGACTATCGACGGCGACTATTCTAGGCTACTTCTTCTACCCCCTTGGAATCATGTGGGGGAGTGGCTCCGGGTCCCCGTCTGTTTTAAATGAGGATCCCGAATCCGAGTCCCTGGACAATCCCCGACTGGCATTGAAATGGTCCCCGACGCCGCGTGGCCGTTGCCAATCATGACTGGTGTGACAATGTCACGGTCACAGCGCAATGCCTTGATGCCCGGAAGTATCTGCAGTATTCCCCTGCAATCTAATCATCATTAGTACGAGGGGTGGCTGACTGGCGGGGAATGACATCCAAGTCGCCGGTCGCAACTTCACCATCGGAAGAAAGTGCCGCCCGGAATCCCCGTCTGCTGGGATGAAGTACATTGTATGGAGTACACTCGGCATTCAATATGTGTTTGCTGTATATTAGGGGTGAAGAATACTGAGGACATCTTGTGACCTGACTGACCCTCCTGCTGACTGATCCCATCTCCACCGACACTGACGTCTTGGTGTGTCAGTCAGGGTTGCTGCTCAGTCCTTCCCTCCGCAGCACTACTGCAGCTTCACTGCATCACCACCACCTTCCTATCCCAACAAGGAACTTCTTCCCCGAAGGCCGCCTCACTATTGCTGGTCACACCCTTCGTACTCCAATATGATCACTCACATTGTTCAATTCCAGTTCAAAGCCTCTCTCGCCCCCGAAAAGGTCCAGGAGGTGAGTCAGCATACCTTACGTCATCTCCAATCCACATCACAGTAACTAATGGACTGACTGTTTTCTGGCTAGACATGCACTCATCTCATCTCCCTGAAAGACAAGTGTCTACATCCCACCACTAAGCAGCCATACATCAGGTCATTCAAAGCGGGAAAGCAGGATTCGCCGGAGGGCAACCATGTAGGTCATCGCCGAAGTCGTTGGATTGCATGAGATCAACGCTAATAAACGGCTTAGAATGGAATCACCCATGTCTTCGTCATGGAATTCGAGTCCGATCAGGACAGAGAGTATTATCTCACCAAAGACCCCGCGCATCTAGGCTTCGTCCAGACCCTGGATGGTCTGATCGAAAAGTCCCAGGTGGTCGACTTCACCGAGGGGGTCTTCTAATCCTTCCGCGGACACGAAGCCCTCAAATATATCAGACCGGTATGAATATGCAAGAAGAGAGATGAATACATGAATGTACATATAATGCAGCAAGCGAAGAAATCAACTTTTGATGATGTTCTGGATCTGTTCGAATTTCCGACCGTTGCGTCGCCGCCAGCATTGCGGATACGGATATCTCTAATCCAGCCGCTCCTCCGGCGTAAGGATCCAGCTGGGCAAACACAACGCCGCAGTCACCGTGGCAAACACTAGCTCATTAGCGAATGTCCACACAGGGAGAGATATACTTACCTGGAATGAACTGATATCCGTACTGCAGACTCGATCGGACAATGGCCTGCATACCCTCCGGCAGCGTATCGACAAAGCGGGCGTCACTCAGAACTTGGCGGGCAATCTACTCCTGTTAGACTGCGACAAATCACTACACTGCAAAACATACTTCCGGAGTCCTCTGTCCAAACTTTCCAGCAATGTCCTGCATAAATCCCATCCGCACCAGCAACGGTGCGATGGACCCGCCAAGAATCACCCCCAACTGTTGGCTGAGATAGTATGCCCCTACACACGAGGCCATGTCTTCCGCTGGTGCACGACCGGTCATGCCAATAAACTCTCCCGAAATGATGATACCGATGGGTGTACTCATCGGAATGACGAGGAGGGTTTCCCAGACGGGGCGGTCGAAATGCCACGAAAAGTATAGCAGAGTGGATGCAACTATGCTAATCCCGGCGGAAGCGAGGCTCATATTCTTATAACGTTTCGTTCTATTAAATCAGCATAAGCACCCGGAGAAGTATACTGTGACTGACCGTTTGATCGAGAAACCCGAAATGATCGAGCCCATCGCTAGAGCCATGGTGCTCAGAACGAGGAAGAAAGTTGCCCCTTCCTCCTGCATCTGCCTCACTTGTGTCAGGTATTGCGTGATGGTGGTAGTGACCTTGACTTGTCAGTATACTGTGCAGCACAGGGCTCGTTACGACCTACTCCGCATCGTCCACTAAACAACACTACTTGCACCAGCCAATACTGTCCGACACCCTTGGTGACCAGTCGTAACGGTACCAGGGGCTTTGTTGCCCATAAACATTCGTGGCAGATAAATGCCACGGTAGCTAATGCGCACACCCCTAGCAGAGCGTACACTGTGGAGAGCTTTCCGTCAAGTGTTCCAGCTGTCGTCAAAGCTAATAGTAGGGTGAAAACAGCTGCCGCGAAACTGAAAATGCCGAAATAATCCAGGCTCCTTAGCTTTTCCATCTTTGATGTCTCCGCGGCAGGAGTGGCTGTCCGAGACTTTGTAGGGAACTGCACCCGGGATAGAAACAGACACAGAACAATAAGAGGTAGCCGACCGGTGAAAGCCCTGTGCTATTAGCCGTGCTCAAGGAATTAGACAGAATTCTTACCATCTCCAACCTAGTGTGTTCACTATAACCCGTCCCAGCGGAGCTCCAACACCCCTCCCGAGCATGTTCACAACATTGGTGTAGCTGCGCAACAATGCGACCTCGCTGGGCGCCGCCAGATCTATACACATTAGCTCCCTCATATATGAAGACGGCACGGCATCGCACCCGTTATGATGATGGAAATCATGACCACCATGCCAGAGGATCCCACGCCACTAATGATCCGTCCGGCTATCAATTGGTTCATTGAATTGCTGAGTGAACTGCTCGAGTCAGTGACTTACTAACCGCTACATGGATTTCCACGGACCTGACCAGACAACCAAGGGCGAATACCAGGTATCCCAGAAGCATCGACCTCTGGCGTCCCAGGGTATCTGCGAGGGTACCATACTGCGTCCGTCAGAATCGGACACTTTCATTGCCGACTTATAGTACTTACCACCGGCAAGGCAATGCAATAGCCCAAATTGTATCCCGTCACCAGCCATGAGGCTTTCGATAGCTCATGAAACTCGGAAGCAATGATATCGTAAGTCGCAATGACGAGAGATTCATCTGTGCTGGCCAGAAAGGCACCTATTTGTGTCAGCGATCGCTTAATCCAGTCCGTGAGCAGGAATACCTAGGTAAGCGATGAAGATGGCCAGTCCAGTGCCCCGAGAAATGCTTCCAGTTGTCTCATTATCCTCCCGATCGGGTGAAATCCCGTCTTCGGGACGTGGAAGTAACCGGGTAGTCTCATCAGAAGCCATAACCATCAAGGAGAGTGAACTGGGTGTGGACCAGACGAACAATTGAAGTGGGATGAGAAGAAGCAAAGAAATGGACCAGATAAGCCGAGCTTATCAGGCAGCATCAGTCTGCGTGCCTTATCGGCAGCTACATCTCGATGTGACTCATCATAAAACATCCTTATTAAGTAACTGTTAATCAAACGAGGGGAAAAGTCGGAGTTGGGGAAACGATTCGATTACAGGCAGGTTACCCCGCTAGCACGCGATCGGCGATAGGCTTGATGCTATCTCGGCCGACGAGTAGATGTCAATTCTATATAAATAGAGGTGGGCTGTTGCCGCCGCTAGTTAGGGTCAGGAAGGGACTAGAAAGCTGTTTCTGGGCTGGATCCCTAGTAAATTCATTAGCGTACCATGTCCTAGTTAACCAGTGCAAAGCCATCTCTCGGCTGTCTGCCAGTATCCTCGCTGTCCTTAGCGTACAGACTAATATATTCCTCGTGGCACTATATATTGGACCCTGCATCCTAGTAGTCTCCCTGGCATCTGTCAAAGATCAAGAAATGATGTGCGTGCCTTGAAAATCGAATTTGTAACATTACTGCTATTGCAACGACGTTCGAGAGCTTATCTGGGGTCTATCAATCACTTACTGTTAGTAGTATAAGTGTGCTATGGAATCCTGCTATCTTGAGGTTGAAATTTGTCAACTCGGTGGTGCAGCTTCGATGAAACAGCTCTTGTGCTATTAACGATCGCGAGTCCTTGAGAAAAAGAAAATGTTCTGGTGGAGCTATACATCCTATCCGCATGTAAATTGAGTTTCCAATCGCCCATGGTTCCAGCCGTTGAAAGTTGTTATAAGTTGGAAACTAAGGGTAATGTTTTACTAGCGGGAGACTCGGGACTTTGTAACGCCCGAGATCTGGCACCCGCTGGTGGTCAATCTCGGGTTTTACTACCACCCGAAGGTTCTTCTATAAAGTCTGGACGCTGCCATTCATCCACCCACGGCTAAAATCAATAATAGAACATATACTTCGCAATGTCCCGATTACTCTCACATGCTGGAAGCATACGGAAATCCTTCTCCCCACTGACATTATTCAATTCGTGCCACTCCCCTGCAGCCCGCACTATCGCCACAATAAGAAAGCCTGCCCCGATAGCCATTGTCGGCGGTGGTCCGTGCGGACTAACATTCGCACGCCTCCTCGAGACAGCTGGTATTGACTACATCGTATTTGAACGCGATGCTTCGCCAGAAAATGCACTGCAATTTCAAGGTGGCACTCTTGACATCCACGGGGACACAGGCCAAGAAGCCCTGCGGCGAGCAGGCCTAATTGAAGAGTTCGAGAAGCTGGCTCGTCGAGACGCAACGACTGTGATAGTGCAAGACTTCCGTGGCAACTTGCGCAAGAGGTTTGGTGAAGGTCGCGATGCTCCTGAGGTCGACCGCTCGCAGCTGCGACAGTTGTTGCTGAGCTCGTTACCTGCGCATCGCATCCGCTGGGCCAGTGCACTCCAGGGGATTGAACGGACCAGTAAGATCGGCCATGGGCATGGTGCGGACTGCACACTGCGATTTGCCGACGGTTCAACAGAAAGCGGGTTTAGACTCGTGGTCGGCGCTGATGGTGCATGGAGTAGGGTCCGCCCATTGGTATGTAGCCATCCATCCACTGTCATCAACACACTAACTAAAATATGTTTCTAGATAACCCCTGCACAACCACAATACTCTGGAAGAATGTTCATTGAAGGTCGCATATCACCCGGCAACCCGCAGTATGCAGCAGCACATGAAATGGTAGGCGCTGGCAACTCTCTCGCCATGACCCGCGGCTGCACCCTGTGCATACAACAGATGTCCGACCGTTCGTACCGCGTCTACATGGGCCTTGAAGTCCCATCTACATTTACTAAACCTGGAGGCGAAGCCGACATAACGAATCCCGAGAAAGCGCGCGCCGCAGTACTACAACACTACGCTGAGTGGGCGCCGCACCTCCGCGCCTTCGCCGAAGCAGCAGAGGGTCCGTGGCGTCCGTGGCCACTGCACCGACTTGACCCGGATATTTATCTCGATGGAAGTCCGAACTGGAAGCGAGTCCCTGGAGTTACGCTGCTCGGAGATGCAGCACACCTGGCGACGCCGAATGGCGACGGGGTCAATATTGCCATGTATGATGCGTTGGTATTGTTCGATGCCCTCGTAGCTGAGCTGAAGAAGAAAAAGAGCAATGCTCATCAGGAACATGAAGACGCAGAAGCAGTGGAACGCGCTATTGTTACCTACGAAACGGACATGCGTGCCCGCGGACGAGCGCATATTGTGGACTCGATAGAGGTCGAGGATATGATGTTTGCGGAGGATGGAGCGGCGCGTATGCATGCGATGATTAACCAGGTTGAGGCCCACACATAGGTTCGCCTACACCTCATTATAGCCACTGGATAGTACATAGACATAGCCATATAGCCATATACTTTAATTCAACTATATAAAGCTTCACAATACATAGTTACCCGTCGATTACTGCCCCGCACACCCGATATAGTAAAGTAAGCAGCCTACTAACCGTACCCCACTAAGAGCTAACATTACTCGGGAATATTCTCCTTTCTTCATCCCCAACCCCCTCATCCTTCTCACCACGACACCTCACATCCCACTTGCAACAAAACACATCCGTCGCCTCAAAGCAACCTCCTACTCCGAAAAGAACCACCAAAATGACCACACACGGACACAACACCCTATCAGGAAAAATAACAACCTACTTCACCTCCATCGACGCCGGCGACCTCCCAACCACCATGTCCCTTTTCTCCCCCACCGCAACCTTCACCATCGTCACGTCAGGCCACACAACCTTCACAGGCCGGGATGCTATCCAGGCCATGCTGGCGGACTTTGTCAACGAGTCTACGGCAATGGAGCACCGGGTGCTGAGCATGATTGTGGATGAGAAGGCGGGGAAAGTCGCCACGCAGCAGCGGTATATTGGAGTGCCAAAGGATGGGATACAGAGAGATTTGCTGAATTGTAATTTCTTTGATATGGATGACGAGGCGAGGATTGAGAAGGTCTTGGTTTGGATGGGTGGGGGGAGTCCGTTGGGCTAGATTGGTTGTCTTTGAGGGGGAGTTTTAAACCAAGGGGAGTATTTCTTAGGATGAAGGGAATGTAGTGGCATTCAATCCCGGTTCGATAAGCGAACGACCGCGCAAGGTGTATAGCCTGCCTCTTTTCCATGCCCCTTCAACCCCACTCTCAGACTTCTTGACACATCTAGAAAGTAACGGATCCCATTACACCGCTCAAGCGAGACAAGCGTGGAGCGGGTTCAGAACCAATCAAGAGCACTACCAGACTTGCCACAGTAATCATCCTTGTTCAAACCACCGTCCACACAATAGGCTGCATCGCACTGCTTCACCACCTTCAGCGTGTAGTCATCGTTGCAATGGTAGATAATGTCGTTCCACGCGCCTACACTATTGACCTTGGCGTTACTATAGCCCGCAGCGCGTAATGCATCTCGGATGGCGGAATCAGCATCGCCTGATAATTTTGAGCAAGATAGTTAGTACTTAATGCTGGAAAAAAAGACAGATATTCAAGACGTGTATCATACCTCGGTTGTTCAGCGTCTTGGCGCAGTAGTTGTAGCCTGGCTTGCAATCCGCAGTGCCGCCAGCGTGGCACTGTGATTGTGCTGCGGCAGAGCCGGCCAGAGCCATGGTGGCTGCGATGAGAACAGTGAAACGCATGGTGGAAGCTTTGACTTGATTTCGTTTGAGACCGTGTTGCAGGATTGGAATTGGGAGGCTTGGAAGACTGACTTGTGAAAGTGTGATTGTTGGATGTTGTGAGGGAGGTTCTGGTGAGCGATGAGGGTTTATATAAGTTTAGAACCTATGCTGGGAACAGAATATCGATAGTCATTACAATCTTCGACTATTGTTCCCCCTCCAGTGACATCTTGTGCTTCCTGGCAGGCCGATAGTCATCTGCATCACATCGCATTATTTCTTGAACTAGCAGGGCGTCGTATCACTGTGATGTCTTAGGGGACCACCGAGATGAGTGCATTGGATCAGATTTAACTGGCCTGGTCACACTGTTTGCTCTTCTCCTCATCCAAATCTGCCTATGTACGTCCCAGCAGTGGTCACATGATTCTAGGAAGTAATGTCGCATCCAACTATCGCCTTACTTTGGGAGTGCTTCTCCTAGTAGGGATGTGCCATGGTGCCTAATTGGATCGACGGAAGAACGCAGGGCCGCTCCACTAGTAAATTGCGATAATTCTGACAATTGCATAGAAGGCTACTACTGGAGTAGCTTCGTAGAGACATTTGTCAATGGCAGAAGTAGACGATGTAACTGTGAATAGTCCGCGTTAGTGGCTCTGTACTGCGCTGAGCTCAAGAGATACTTCGCTTTGAAGTCCCGATGCATCCGAAACGCAGTACAGATGTATAGTCAGACTCGACCAGGTTATGATCAGGCCGTGGATGCTCTGCGCAAGATGTTTCGCCGATCGTGTCTACTGGTTTCTAATAGTTGGTGCCTCTGTGTAACAATGAGCTGCGTTCTCGGTCGTCTAGGAAAGCAGGGTACGCTTTGGACTGCGGAGTCGGCACGGATCTAGCCGGAAAATGCGTTCCTAATAGTGCATCGCAGGTGCATACTATATGATCCACTAGTTGTACTTTGTCCGACGTGTGATGAGACCTGCACTTGGAAACCAGTGGAAGAAAAAGAAAGCATAATTCAGCCCTACCATATCTGTAACATATCCTGGTCATATAAGCCCTTCTGTGGTCTTAGCCTCTTGAAGGGAGTGGACTGTATCGTCACCCTTGCTAGTTGTGCAGTGTCGGTACATAAATCATTGACTTGCCATTAGTGGATCTCGGTGTGGTAAGTCAGGTAAGAGTAATTGCGATCATATATGACTGATCATCGCGCGACAGAGCGAGCGGTAAAATGGGACAAGCGTTCCAACATGTTCATTCACCATGATTCAGAGGATAAATTTTGGTATCTGTCAAGGTTTCCCAGCATGGTTTATTTGCGATGTATGCATGTCCATTTCCCTTTCTTAAAAGTGAGGCGGATGGCGGAATCGCATCGGAGAATACTTTCAGAGGCGCTATATACAAAGCAGGTTGGTGGACGATTGATATTGGCTAGACTATTTGTCAATTAATACACCCAGAGAACATGTTATGATGTCAGACAAGCGATAGTTCCCCATTCTTCAGTCAATAGTGTGAATCTACCCGATAACGTCCACTTCAATGAGTTTTTTTAATTTTTATGAAAGTTCGTTCTTTGGAAGTCACGGCCTAACTACCAATCGTACATGTTGCAGTGCTGAATAAATTAAAGCAATATCCCTCATACAAAGAGACTAGGGAAACGTCTGCTTTCTCAATTCATGGCAGCGGACCCAACAAGCGGATCAAGTAGTAACCGCCGACCACCATCGGGGCAGTACAGTGGCATTAGCTGTAGCGCCTGCAGCACAAGTGCCGGCCACTACGGCATCGCGGGTGGTCGGCGAGAGACACTGAGGCTAAACTCGCTATGGTGTTTCGGACAGCAAGGTGTTTGAGAGAAAGTCCTTTAGGGAGCCTTGATTGGGGCATAATATTGGCAATTGCTATCAGCCGGGGGGTTACTTGTTTTTATCTGGATACTACGAAGTATCTGACAGGCGACCTTGGCTACTAAGTGGGCACACACGATGCTTACATTATTCCTTCCTAAGTCCAATGTCAAATAGCGACTCGGTGGACGGTATTCTGGCGGAGAATTATCTGGTTAACCGGCTCCTTCTTGACATCCCTGTCATCCTTCATGTGTTTCAAGTTCCAGCCTCGTGCTTGGCCACGCATCAACCTCGCCAAGCACCGTCCCGTATTATCTCCGCACCAAGCCAGCAGCTGGTTGGACCAGCAGACCCTTGCTTGGAATGAAGTGGCGCCCAAGTGGAGTTGGCGGCAGGGATCAGCGTCGTATCAACACTTATCCACAAGAGACCCATGGTAGGAATGCTTGAATCGCTTTATAGACATGAGTGTTTACGATACTTTAAATCAACTGAATCATGCTACAGCCACCCCGATAACCTTGGACAAGTCATTTTACAGTATTGGATAACCCACTCAGGGCACCATCAACAACCACGGTCATACAGCCTTGCCGGTCCGCGTCTTAAGCACGCAAAGGATCAGGCTATGCAGGGATTGACGGTGGGCTGTGCCGCCGCGGCAATCCCTTGCCCAAAATGTCCTTACTTATACCTGAGGCTTGAACCGCCCCCACGTCAGATATTTCTGACGCTGTGAATCACCGCTGAGGAAACAACTGACAGGAAGTGGTGCTGTTGGTGCCCACGGCTTATATACGTCCGAGATGTTGGGCAATATCTTGCCGAAAGGAAAAGCCTTTGCGCGCCTACCCGGGAAGCGCCCATCTACAGATGTGAGGGGCGCGTCCAGTGAGAGTGATGGCGACTCGCTACCTGGGTATGCGCGGCAGCAACACATGTGGTCGCCCGTGATATTACGCTCCGTGTCTCTGGTTGTGTTTGCGGTGCTATTCATATGCTTTATCATTGTTATCGAGGTGTTATACTCGGTATCTACTCGGAAGGAAGGCTTAAGCACGAGTGAGGAAAGATATCATTATCTTTGGACCTATGGCCCGACCGCAGGTAAGACATTCGTTGCTTATTGCCCTTCTGCTAAACATCTGCTGATCCTGTAGTTCTTACAATTGTCGCGGGGTTCTGGGGCCAGGTCGAGTATCGAACGAAACAGCTTATGCCATGGAAGCTCATGAGTCAACAGCCAGAGCCCGCAACACGATCCTTGCTGCTAGATTATGTGTCTGACTGGAACGTGGTCATTCTGTTTCGCGCTCTGAAGCAATCATCCTGGGCTGTTGTTCTTGCCGTTCTTGGAACACTGCTCATCAAGCTGATCACCGTGGTCTCGACTGGTCTGTTCATGTTGCAAAACGTCTACATGAAGGATGTTCCAACAACTCTATTGACGCAAGCCAGCTTTGACGGTACTGGGTATAATGGCGCCAAGGTTGATGGAACGGCTGCAATGGTTGTAGCTGGGGCTTGGTGGCTTAACCTGTCATACCCGTTGGGATCGACCGATAAATACGCCTTCCAACCGTTCACAACCTCCGGCAAGAAGCTCGGTGGGACTAATTGCTTGAATACGAGTTAGACGAGTCACTGACTTCTTTCCAGGTGCCGATGCAATCATTTCAGGGACAGTCGACATGTTCTCTGCTGATCTTCAATGCGACGTAGCAACGGTCGCAAATTGGACTTCGGGTTGTAGCACACAAATGTGCGAGCACGATGAACTCAACATGACGCTCAGTACTCCTTCCTGCTCGAAGTACCCGTTCAAAAGCTTCCAGAGAAGCTCCTCTTCGGTTGGGGGATACTATGCCGACGTATTCAGCGCCGCATGTACGGATACAGATTCAGCGGATAGTCTGAATGAGAAACGCCTAATTTTCGCCGCCGCCCACTGGGATGAGAACAGCACCCAAATCCAGGCGCTCGTTTGCAGTCCCACCTACACCATATCGCAAGGATCCGTCTCGCTGCTCTACGGCAATCAGGGTGTGATTAGCATCCAATCACATATCAACAGTTCTAGCAACAGGTCAATCTCAGGGCTCGAGGGTATGGAGCTAGGAACAGGACTTCTTTCAACCCTATCACTGGCTTACCGTCCTTTTAGCCCCTGCGCTCACGGTGGTGGTCAGTGGGCTGTATTCAACACAGGACATTGTATACACACGCTCTGCTTCCATTGCGCGAACTGACACCTTCAACACTACCATCAGTCCTCGTTCCTCCACCACCACCGACCCTGGTCTCGGCCTCACAGGAGCTCTTGTCGTGGGAGCCAACCTATCATACCCCGCTTGGACGTATGACGAGCTTGTTCTCCCTACTCTCAGTGAGGCATCCCTCACCGATAAGGAGGGGGCGGTTCAAACCAATTCCTCCTCTTTTAACAGCACGTCCGACAGTCCCATCCTCCTCAACGTCACCCTCCCAGCCCTCCGCGCCAACCTCACCTGCGATGCACTCCCCCAAGACATTGTTTATTACATCACTCCAGCCTCGGATTTCTATTCCACATTCACCCTCCGCATGCAGCTCGACAAGAAATGCCAGGGTGTGGACACCTCGACTGACTTCGCCATTGAAACCGATTATCCCAACGCAACACGAACTACATTCGGTGCCTTCGAATACCTCAAAGGTGCAATCGCATTTGGTGACTGCCCGGCGCTAATGGGATTTTACGGTGTAATAGATGGCAATTCCACGGCACAGATCCGCGGCTTCACCTGCAACCCGCAAGTCGACGAAGTCGATGCGAAAACGTCGTTGTCACTCCCCGGTTTAGACATCCAGTCGGCGACTGCGGACCACTCAACGAGCCGAGCCTTTTCAACAAATATCTCCACCACCCTCGTACTCGAAACCTTCCTTTCCCAGCCTGTCAACAAGCAAGACCAAGCGTTTGACGCCTTTTTCTCCGCCATGCTCAATGACCAAAAATCCCTCTCCTTGTCCGACATCACCGACCCATCCCACTACTCCACTGTCATCAACGCAACGCAACATCTCTACGGCACCCTGATGGCCCAGGCCATGAATGGCAACGCACGAATCCCATCCAGTGACAACAAAACTACCTTCCCTGGCACAATCGTAGACCCGAATCGTACCCGTCTTACACAGAGCGCCATATCTACCCGCATCCTCGAAGCTTTTCTCGCAGCCATGGTCGTGTCCACCCTAGTCGCATCATATTTCATGCAAACAAAAGAAGTCCTTCCTTTCAACCCATGCAGTATTGCTGGCGCGGGGGCACTGATTGCTGGATCGGATGTGCTGAAGAGCGATACATTACCTGCCGGGTCGGAATGGTGCAATGATAGGGAAATGCTTCGAAGGGGGTATTTCTCCGGCTTGGTATTCGGGTTAGGATGGTGGGCTGGGGACGACCCGAGATTTGGGATTGATGTTGGGAGGGCAACAGAGGAGAGGGAGTAGACTTCCTTTTTCATCTTTCACGGATTAATGACCATAACAAGGACTTACCATATAGTATGTCAAAGCTATTGAAGAGGATTCTCATGCCTTATACAGACTAGTAACGATGCATATCAATTTACACTGATATATTCCTATAATACATTCAGAAATAGTACTATCAGGTCTGATTGCCCCGTGCAGGACAAGTACATTCTATAATCTCAACATAATAACACCCAATATATATATTCTCGTAAACATACCCCCTCCCTTGGCGCACAATGCTATTCATAAAGGAACCTACTTATTTACTTAGGTAGATCTATAATGATATACCTCATTCATCATTACCCTCCTCATCATCCTCATCATCATGGTAGCAGATAACATGAGCCATATATCTAGGTATAATAAACTCATGCTCGCCCTTTTCAAGACCGAACCCGTCGCTGCCGGGAAGGAAGTGCAACTGTTGGATCACACGGCACGGTTCCGGAGAATACCAGTATGAGTAATAGCCACTGCACAAAAAGAGATTAGTAGGAAAGGAATTCGATTACAATCGTAGACGACTGAGGAGATGGAATGCCATACGGATATTTCAGTGGAGTAAGTATGTCCAATTCAACCTCCTGCTTGTGGGTGTTGTCCTTGCTGGTGCCATATTGGATCTATATTATCAGTTGTTATATTTATATTAGCCATTGTTCTATTCTATTGTAGTTCATCATAATATTATCCTGGTGAAGAGAGTATAATAGCATACCTCAATTGTCTGGCCAAAGACGCCGGTGGCGAAAACGGCCAAAGTAGCGGCCAGAATGGACTTGTTGAAGAGCATTTTGCTTTTCTTTTCGTCCGTGTTTGGGAAGTTAGAGGAGGGTTGGGTTATGAAAGATTAGAGATGTATTGCTTTTGCTTTTAATTCTTTTATTGAGACTATTTCGTCCGGTGAGTGGATTTGGGGGAGCTATAAATACTATCGGAAATGTATTCCTGCATCAGAATGCTTTCAATAAATTCGCCAGCTGAACTTGTTTTTCGATAGTTTCATTCTCCTTTGTCGATCTGGTCGGCTTGAGGTGGTGATCGGCAGCTGGGGCTGAGATTGAGCTGGAGACTTTTGAGAACTTATCTCTGTAGCAATTGATAATTCGGTAAATTCTTCGAGAGATATACAATGGTAATAATGATGTTGTACCTTGACATGACATCAATTGTAATTTCAAGTTCTCTATATCAGCTGCCATGCTGTCATGTTCTTTAAACAGCGGGAAGCTCTTCATAAAGGTAATGATTGATGTGTACTTGGCAAAGCTAAGGAATCCCTGATTGTACCATTGTGATTATGGCTGATATTATCAGTCATGATGTAAATATACATAAACACATTTAAAAATATATATTATCATGTCAATCTACCTCCCTAGCACATACCATACAGCCATGATATAACTCAGTTACCCATGATATTTATAGTAAAAGTACGACGGGCGGTAGCAGTACACAGTATTGAGGTACCTCTCAGGAAACTGGCCAGTGTAGGCAAACCGCGAGATCGTGGGTTCATCCTGGATATTGCTGTACAGATTGCAATAATGACCTGAAGAGAAGTAGGAGTAGTTGCTGCTACACAGATAAACCTATAAGCAAATCTCCCTTGGATGACTGAATATCGGGGAAGGTGGGATCCATACGGGCAATTCAGCCTAGTGAATGTGTTCCATAAAACCTGCTGTCCGTGGAAATTATATTTGCTGGTACCGTATCCAATCTGTCTTACTTTCGTATTAAATAATATCCATGATATAGGAGCCGGATGGTACTGGTATCAACGTATGTTCATCATCTGGGCGACAGTACCGGAGGGGGAGAGGAAAGGGTGATCTTTATTTTTCTGAAAAGATAGTATTGATCGGCAGTCGGGAGTCAGGGTAAGATTAATCAGGGAGACTTTTCAGAAAGTTCTTCTGTTGGTATTAGCAATTTGAGGAATTCTTGGTGACAGAAATAATAGTGGGCGCTCGTGTTAGTCACTATAGGAATATAGCTAAACGCGTCTATGAATATATATTATTATATCACTCAATCCCTGCATATAGCGTACACACTCATTAATCCACATGCCTGTTCACATATCCAAACCCATTGCATAACTCATTTACAGCAGCTCTTCCTCCTGCTCATAAGTGTAGCAGTACACAGCTTCAATGTACGTCGAAGGAATCTCGCTGCTGCCACTGACCTTCGAGAGGGTGGCATCATTCTCGCTGTTGCTGTACAGATCGCAGAGATCGGGGGTAGAGAAGTAGGAGTAAGTGCCGCTGCATAGATACAATCAGTTTTGTCTGCATGGTTGAAGTGTTTGGAAGTAGGGATGGAATGAGGGAAATGTCGTACGGATAATCCAGCTTCTCAAAGTCCTGCAATTGAACCTGTTGCTTGTGGGCGTCATATTCGCTGCTGCCGTATTCGATCTGTATGCATTGCGGTCATATTAGCCTTTGTCTCCGTCACTTCAAGACGTAGTGGAGGTATCAACAACATACGTCGATCAACTGGCCGACAACGCCGGAGGCGAAAACGGCCAAGGTGGCGGCCAGGACGGACTTGTTGAAGAACATTTTGTTTTTGTTGTGGTTGTGTAGGGGGTGAGACAAGAGTCGGGGTTTGAATTGACAGTAATGGTTTGTTTTTTGATTGAGTGGTCTATTGCATCCGGTGAGTGTACTTGGAGGGGGTTTAAGTACTATTGAAGAGGCGGCAGGCTTAGTATTTCCCTATGATAACGCTTCAATAGTCTCGCCAGCTGAAGTGCCTTTTCGGGATGGTTCTTCTTGTCTGCTTTGTCGATCCGGATAATTGCTCGGAGCCGTCGGGGGAACTCGATGCCGGAAGCTTAAAAGTTATGGGTCTTGGTTAGCTTAAGTTGGTGATCGACAGCTGGGCTGAGATTTAGATCGGATGTGGAGAAGGCTTGGTATGATGTTATCGGGAAATTCTGAAGACATGGTGACCATGTCAACTGTGATGCCATAGCCTGATACGAGTTCCATTGCAATGTTGAATTAACCGCAGTTGCTGCGATGACATTGTTTTCGTAATGAACAAGAGTTTCTGCCATCGCTGGAGTCGATCGCTGCACGCGGGCTATTCAGAGGCATCCGGCGCACTAGTGCGATAGTAGCCGATCTCGCCAGCCACTATATGTCCATCGCGACGATCAGCACTGACAACACTTTTGAGGTGCTCGTGGTTGAATTCCTCGCGAGGGCAGATACTTGTCAGTCTCTACATGAGAAGAATCGGTCAGCCAACTCAATTCCAGGTTCGGAGATTATCTAGCTCGTTGCCTGCCTAAGGTCGGCAGTTATCGTCATCATTTACCGGCAGAATGTACGTCTTGGTGAGATAGTTGGCCGATAACGTGAAATTAAGCTTCCCTGTTACACCGAGGCAACTGGTTGGACGGGAAGCTTGGTTGATACTAAAGAGGAACTATTCGCTGATCGGCTATACATCCGATCCTGGTGCCCTCGGAGCGGGACGGTAGATGAAGCAAGGGCTATTCCAGGTTATGAAAATAATGAACACAACAATGCTAGTGTATGACGATAGGCACAGCCAGTAAGCTAGTCAGATAGGAGGATCATGTAATGTGCTAGAAGTGTTTTGGGACCCATAAAAAAGACCATAGTATAGCTGCTCCAGATTCTCTTGCCACGCCCGAAACCAGTTATATTTAGGAGCGACATCGCAGCTCTTACCGGGAGGTATCGCAAGCAGCGTCTGCTTTATGGCACTAGCGAAAGCTCACAACTAAGGGGCTTTCTCAAAGCAGTGAATCACCGAAGCCTCCACTCCGGCATCAAGCACATTAGCACCAGGAATGACGCCGGTGACGACTCGACTATCTCTAGCATGCCGTCTTAATAGTGGTAAGGGAAATAACCGTTCCAGTGGTGCAGCTGAGACTCACGGGTCGAGGTGGCAGACCTTACTGGTCTGGAATGTGGTGATAAGGCCTCTGCCGGTGTGTTATTCATCATCAGATTTATCCGGTCTTGAAACGAGGTGACTACATTTTTCGAATCAATTCCTGATACTTACGGGTAGTCCAGCGGAACATGCAGATCTAGTGGTACCGTTTGGGTGTGGCCAATATCATCAGAGGTAAAGGCAATTTAGGAAAGGTAAGATAAACAGTGAGATCAGAATAAAGACATACTTAAGGTAATGTGTACACATGCGTCGATATCGGTAGCAAATGCACCAGATGAGAGCGCCACTGCGGTGGCTAGGATATACGTAATGAGTTGCATTGTGAGTGTTCGCATAGGGACTACGGAGGTATGAGATGGATCGCCTTGTTTGAGCTGGATTAATAAATAGAGAGCCAGGCTAAAGTCCGGACGTGTCTGCGGTTTTATGTCCACTCTCTGAACAGTGTGGATGAGCCGGACGGCTTCTCATGCCCAAGTCGCATTCTCCGCGGGAAGGGTTGCACGAGACAATCGGATATCCCTTGAGCATGGTAGACCATGTAGAGAATGGTACATTGCAATTGGTTTCCTTTTTGAATTAGTGATCAAGAAAATAGTACGAGCCGGTGCAAATAAGGAGCAATGCAACACATGCATTAGTCGCTGACATTGAATATCTATCAATTAATATATATTTATAGGCTGCTGCGGCGGGGGTTAGCCGACACTTGATGTTACTAATGACCGCAAAGCGCGCCAGCCCTCAATGTTTCCCTAATTTGGAGATATGTATACTGGCCTAAGTCAATTGAGCGAGTTCTTACTACTGCATCCTATAGTCACATAATACTTAGCATGCAAAGACTCCTATATGAAAAAAGGTCCATTGGATATCGAGAAAATTGCGGTAAGGTTACTCAGGAATGTGAGGATGGCTGAGCAATTCGCAAGAACATCATGTCTATATCATCCGCGGACCTTTTGAAGAATGTTCAATCGTCTGGATACGATAACGAAGTACATTCCTTGTGCCGGAATAATTTGTCCTTCTTTAATATCTATATAAATAAAAACCACGCCAATGTTATGTTTAGTAATACCCAACATGTATATGTCCCTCTAAGTTGAGAATCACTGATGCCTAAGGCCGACAGCCCCAATCTTCATTCAGGGCTATCGCTGGAAATTCCACGTTGTAGCAGCACTAGTACTATCTCACAGCTGGTCGGAATTGATGCATATTAGACTCGTAGCATTGAAGCCGGGATCATAAGTATGAGCACCCTCGTCAACCTGCGTACCGCCTTGCAATGGGTCTCTATAATTATTTGTGCATTAATCACTCTAAACTGGACCTGACACCCTACTTGAATTGAACTTACACGTGGAAGATATTGCATGGGCTATTGGCCTGGAACGTCGTGATAAGGCCTCTGTGATTGAATAATTATTAGTACTGTAATCTGTGAGAAAATCTTCCCAGTGAAAGACATACGGATAGTCCAGCAGAGTAATTACACCTGATGTTATTGTTTGGTTGTGGAGGACACCGTTAGACGTATAGGAAATCTGGAGTCGCCTGTGTTAGCATATTATTATAATACTTCGTGGAAAAGATTAAGAGGAGGCGACTGGGTATACTGCATGCATACATCAACGGTGTCAATGGCAGCCAGGACGCTAGATGAGAGCGCAATTGCGGTGGCGAGGAAATACTTGGTAACTTGCATTATAGAGGCTTTAAATATGGCTGGGAGAGATGTGACTTAATCAGAGTAGGCTTTGATTGTAGAGAAACAAGGTTGGTCTTTTATGGATGATGTTCACCTTTTCATAGCCGCTCCCGGTTTGCAGTAAACAAACATATACTCACAGATGGTGAGGCAAATTCCAGACTGTCAACATACCCAAGTCGCCTGTCCGCGGTGAGGTTGCATCGGGCAGCTGGACTTTCTTGGGCGTCATAGACTTTGTATGAGACGCCCGGTCAAATGGATCTTGCAGTGTATGACTGTATCATCGAGGCGGGGCAGGATTATTTAGTCTATTAGGAAGTTTGAGACACACCCATGAGGCCCAGAGGGGAGCAATTATGGTGGTATGCTTGGCTGCCAATCAAAGGCTTTGCCGTTTCATCGGAAATTACATCCGCAAAGGTTATTTGATTCCTGTCATGTCATGGGTTCGCGGTCAATGTTCTAATTTTGAGAGTTCTCACGGAATTCAGATGTACATTGTCAAATCTTACAGTAATTCGAAGAAATCTACATTACACCTTGAGACAGTCGTGGCAGGATTACTCGGCATATGTGGAGATAGCTCGGAGAAGAATAACATCATCATCTGAGGAATGCCCGAAGCATCCGCGGACAATCCAGGAAAGCCGCGGTTGTCTCACAGTGCAATGACACTTAATTGCTCATCCGCGGACACATTCTCTCCAAATTGTTGCAGTATGCTACAACAGGTCACCCTAAATGATTCATACAGCTCCGGGGGAATCAGAAAGGCCTCTTACCTTATATAGGAGGAAAAATTCGCTGGAGGCATTTAAATCCCTACTCTGAACGACCAGGGTGTTGAAGACCTGCAGGCATCGGTTAAAATACTAGATCGGGGGTGTTTGTGGTAAGCCTGCATCGAATTGTAGCCCTTAAATGTTGTCTTGAACATTGCACAGGCGGCATAGGCAAGATACTCAACCTAGTTGTGTACGCAGACTGCCCCAGTTTTATAGGCAGCAGAGCCAGAGGTATATACCCGACTTTCTCTGGGCTACCTTTTAGTCAATATTCAATGACCGAAATGGATACATCTAGTTACCAAAACCCTTCTCCCCATATCACCAAATGGGAAACCTAAACGGAACATGTCTGCCCAATATGTGTCTTTGAAGCATGTTATAATGAAATATATGCCATTATCTGTAGCTAACCACCATTACTTCATAGAACTAGCAATCTGATATCATCAACTCTCCCACATACCCTTGCATACCCAGCAGTCCATCAACATGGATGACAGACTTCCGTACCCGGATACGTGAATACGATGCATCGTCCAATAGATCAATGCAATAATCATATCACGTCAAGCCGGCACTTATCTAGTTGGAAGAGGGGTCTTGGCACTGAACGGATGCAGCGTTGACTGGAGGGTCGATGTTCGTCGCGCCCGCTGCAACATAGTAGACCTCCTGGCCGTAGTAGCTATAGCGGTACATGTTAGTGACAAGTCCAGTTATAACCACTCCAATGGGAAAGATTATATTTACTTGAAGAGATAGCAGTTGGCAGTGTTCTGGAAGGTGCTGATGGATCCACTGTGTGGTTATTAGCAATGTACTTGTACGAGGACTTTGACGAGTTGAGGAACGTACGGCTGAGTCAATGGAGTACGTTGGTAAGGCTCGACCTGCTGGTTGTAGTAAGCGCCATTGGAGGTGTAGGCAATCTAAGTCCAGATTTGGTTAGCAGATGGACACAAAAGGGAGCTCGAGATATGAATGCCGAATGAGCAAGTGTAGGATGATTGATTTTACACATACATCGACTGTGCTTGCAACAGCGCTGGAGACGAAGAGAGCAAGGGCGGTAGCCACGATAGACTTGGAGAATTGCATTGTGGAGATGTTGTCTTAAGACTTTGTGTTGTATGTGATTGTGAGGTTGATTGCGACGGATGATGCTTTGTTTGTGGTGGGATGTCCCAGCCATTATATAGCCCTGAACGGAGTTTTAGATTTCATTACCGAGCAGTAGATCTTAGGCCTACCATCCATCTGATCCTATCCTGCAGAGCCAAGAAACCCCGGAAACCCCGGAAGTCCTCTAGGTGTAAAGCAATTGCATGAAATATAGAATTCCATTGACTATGTGTTGATCAATGCCCATAGACAAGCGACATGACATCTAGTAGCAGACGACTATCGGATGGCTGCAGATACGAAGGTCCTGATTGCTTTTGCAAAGCCATGATCGACAACCCCGGCTGCTTCCGAGTGGACTTCCCCGCGCCTGACCGGGAGCCACAAGACTAAAGCCCGACTTCCCTAAGTTTGCGCCTTTCTCCAGTTGGAAAGCATTCTGATGTTATGTGTCAAGCTTTCTTGTATGAATGAATTAAGCAAGCATTCTCAACAAATCCCAGCGCATATGTAGAGTAGCACGTCCCTTGGGGTACACAGCATATTGTCGGAGAGTTGGGCATTAAATAACTACCCAGCGGATGCTCAGAATATGAATTTCCTAGTATTAAAGGGCTTTATTGGGAGACTGTATTGGGCAAATAGCTTCTATGTTTCATGTACGGTGATAGTATATTGTACAATTGAGCCACAACAAGAGGCATTGTGTTGCTCTCGAATATTCAAGTTTGCGTAATTGAGGCTACTCTGACTAGTCAAAAAGAACATGACAATGACCGGGTCATCTAAAGGCGCTTCAGCAGTATACTGAATGCAGCGCATGTTGGCCAGAATCTCCGTGTTCGGACCAAACGCTAGAGTAATGGGTCCGAACCCGCCCATATAATTTGACTATTCAAGACTCCATGCATATATCGTGTTCAACCGACATGACACTCAGCTAAGCCACTACCAACATTTCCAGTCCCCCTCCCTCTGATTATGCCTAAGCTAGGACACCCACTCATAACTCAACACTGGAATAACAAAATCTGGCGCCGTACATGTCGCATTGAAATATTGATCATGCGTGCATGTCAAAGTGAAATCCGTACTACCAGAATAGGTAATCAAGCTACCGTTTGCACATTCCAGCGCATGTCCGTCTCCCAAGACATAGTCCATATGTCCCGTGGAAGTCGCATAATTGGAGCTGCCATAGAAAGAGACGATCCTTCCCTCGCCTCGATCCGCGTACCCACAATTAGATGCTCCGTTTCCGATGTCATGAACTCGATACCCGATGTACTCGTCGTGGCAGGTCAACCCATCGGCAAAGTCGATGTCAAGGGTCTCGGGCGGACCATATCCCCATGGTTGATAATTGGGCATGCCGGTCCAACAAACATTGACCATGCTGCCGTTGCAGGTGGCAGGGTCGGGGGCACACCAGCCATTGCCGCATAGGCAATCTTTGAAGTTGATGTCTGCCTGGTTATGCACGCAGTCCAGGCTCTTTGATCCGTTGTACCAATGGAAGGTGGTGACTTCCCAGGTCGGGATAGGACATCCGTCTGGGGGAGTGATGGAGCGGGGGTGCAGAATGGCGGTGGACGAGGCTGCGAGAGCCACGAGAGTGGCAATTGTGGGGAAGATCAACATGTTGGGCATTCCAGAATGTAGGTCTCAAAAAAGCAAGCTGATGAGTGTGACTGGAAAGAGTGGGCTTTTCTTGTCTTTCGTGGGGTTTTTATATCTCTCCATTCTGGCATCGATAAAATTTCGTCCATCTCGTATCTTGAAGCGAGATGAACGAAGAGAGCTGTTCGGTTGAAGAATCAGGGTCCTCTACATGCACATCAGCTGGTGGAGGTGAGACATTGCGAATGAAAAGCGGAGGGAACCGATGGGTTTGAAACATTTGGCTCGCCTAAGCTATAAATGGTTGCGGTGGTTCCTTGGCATCGGAGATCCCAGGTCTTCCCGCTTAATGTCTCAACACGTTTTTCCTAAAGAGGCCATAATGTCGGGAACACCGTGGAGTTGGCGACTTTATAGATCTCATCATGAGGTTTATTTGTGTGAGAATACGAGCTTTGACTGTCCCACACTCAGGGTGTGATTGCGGGGGAGCCCGCAGACTAGGGCTTTAGAGGACCGATCAAGGCGCAATTGAATGTAGAGGGTGTTGGGAAATACCTACAGGATGCGGTACTTGTTCTTGGGACTTGTATATGCAAGTATGGCGAATAAAACTTCTGTTCATACTACTAGTAGTCATAGTATTGTCATCTCAAGGTTATGTTAATGGTCCTCTTCCTGATTGTATATATAATGGCTGACGTGATTCACCAACAAATTACTAAATTTGCATTCATTCCACAGAAGACAACCCGATTTAACAGCAATCACTGAAAAGCCTGTTGATCAAATAAAAATGTGCTGCCAGTTTTATACCGCATGGAAGTCAGAATCATTCGACATTCATGATTTTGTTACAGTAATATTTCCTGGATAGTAGTAGTGAACAGCCGGCCGTGAAAGAAAGACAGGGCTCGATAACATAGCACAGGCCATCTACCTGTGTGGTGCCGAGTGAAAGAAGCATCTTGATTTTAGAGTGATTATGAAAGTCGACCATCCCATATTTTTATCCATTAGCTTATGCATAAATTACTGTTTATACTCATAAGTCCTCCCCAGTGTGCTATGACGTCACCACATCCGAGGCCGATCTTAAGCTGCGAAAATTGCTCGGCAGACCGAGCCTACCCTGAACTCAACGTCTGACATTTTTTGCCTTATTGTAAAAACATATCAGTCAAAAGGTGCTTCAAGTTGCACAAGTAATTCATTTGAAAGTGGAATGGACCCTGGATTACCCATATCATTCACAAAAGTCAACCATTTCCCTCGTCACAACCCCGGGGCCTTGATCAGCTAGACAAAACTATATATTTCTTGATTATTCGTGATGAGTACTTCAACAACTTTGAATGTGTGGTTAGGATAGGCAATTCAATGCTGTCTGTCCATTACATTGATCATCAATTATGCAAGGGACACTTGCTGCACATGTTCTGGAGCTACACTGTGAAATGTGGGGTCATATATGGGTCGATGCAGACTCACCGAAGTATCCCCGAACACCTTCATCCTTGAACAATTGAGACTATGAAATTCCCAAATTTGTTCGATTATCAATTTATGAAAGTACAACACCCTTACCTCTCTATTTAATCTTCAATACTAGTTTCGAACAAAGGTGCAGCCCCAAGCTCCCAAGAATATACCCCAAGCTTAAGCTTATCTCGCGGAACTGGAACCCATAAGCTTCATCCTCGGATCCTCACCGAGAACACCTTAACCAGTAACTCGTCCGCCCCACCCCAACTCTTTAAAAATAACTCAATCTTGCCCACCCACGTTTAAGAACCCCGTTACCCCTCCATCCCCTCCTTCTCGTCCACAACATCCCCAGTTGAACCTCCCATCACACCGTCAAAATGGTTTACACTATCGTCGTCCGTATGTTTTGGAAGCCCCTGACTCTTCTACTGCATGCACCTTTGGCACGATCGTACTGACATAGCAATGATGATAGACCTCCGCGCTAAGCCCGACGAGGAGAGCATCTCCAAGCTCCACGCCAAGCTCATCGAAGCCTCGGCCGTCTACTCCAAGGACAAGGAGACCCTGTCCTGGTTCGTCATGCAGAGTGTCCACGACAAGCAGGACTTCTGCATCGTCGAGCGCTACCTCAACGAGGGCTCCCAGAAGTACCACCTCGAGAACCCCTACTGGAAGACCTTCGACCCCTACGTCATCCCTCTCTTGGAGAAGCCTATGGACCTGAGACGCTTCGAGGAGATGGAGGAGAAGAAGGAGTAAATGTGCATACTATAAAATTTGGAATGGCATGTATATAGAGTGAATGATATTGTCCGATGCCGTGCGTTGGACGTTGTTCAGGATAGCATTTTCGTGCTGAATGAATGGTCACAGTGATACCAATACACCATGAACTATGGTACTCAATGCTTACAGGCAGTGAGTTTTGAGTGCAAAGCTGGAGCACACCAGAGCTCTTTCGTATCTCAAGTAACATGTGAAAACATCCGAGGTTTATCAACCAGCGAATCGGATACAATAGACATGTTCTACCTCCGCATCGATCAGCAACAGTCACAAAGACGACGATGATGGTGACGATAATGAACAACATCAGTCTATCCACGTCTATTTGTCTGACTGAAAAACGGACTTGAAACATAAAACGGTCTCTCAGCGACACCACCCTTCCCTCCTTCCCCATTATCACTACTACCACCACCACTACTCTTCCCCATTAATACCTGCATTCTCTCCCGAAAAGCCTCATTATCCTTCAACTTCCCTACTTCCTTCTTATTCCTTTCATCCCTAAATCTCGCATCCGGCTCCCCCGCAAACACCACCTCCGGCCCATCAATCCACTTCCTCCCCGAATCCCCACATGCACGCTTAATACTCTCTGCGCCCTCATTAATCATACTCTTCCAGAATGCCCCCTCCCCAGTCCCTAACACACCAGCATCCTCAAGCATCGCCACCGCACCCGCCACCCAATCCTGGCAATTACCCACACCGAATTCAGGGATATTAGATGCGTCGTTTCCAAACGCGGAGAGTAAGTTGTTCACATGTTCAGTTTCTTCCTGTCGGAAGGTGATCAGCTCACAACGTCCTCGCAGGACAGGGTCATCTTGCAAAGGCTGGACACGTGGATCGTAGATGAAGTATTCGTCGGTGGGGTTACGGATGTGGTGCATTTGGCAGGTTGACGCGCCGATCTCGTATACGGCTATGCCCATGTGGGAAGGGCTGTCGCCGAGGGTGGCATCGCCGCGCCCGTAGATGTTGATGGATAGGGCGTGGGTAGATGGTTCTTTTGAAGGGTTCATTTTGGTTTTGGATATGTTTATGGAGAGGTACTTTATGTGTTTGGGATGGACAATGGACAAAGTTGAGATACTGGTTGCCTAGTTGTGTTGTCTTTGTTGGAAGCCTGGGCGTTTAATGAATGCGTCACGTGAAAGGTGGCTTGGGGTAGAGTGGGAAGACAAGGTGGTTTATGTATGAAGCCTACAACTGGGCGCTAATTCCTTATATTTACTGGGAGGGTCTGTTCTCCATCTGACAGGTGCCTTCATATCAAACTTGTATGATAATGCTCTAATCCACTTTGATTGACTATACTTCGCGACCTCACTACAGCCCAACGTGGTTCCTAAGCGGTTCAAAGCAAGAGCATGGTTTCTTATGCTTTTGTAAGCCTCAGGCTGGCTCGAAGTGAAGCAACACGAAGTTGGATATATAGGAAAGCTCACATGCAGCGACATACAGTAGTAAAGGAGAGAAGGTTGCTTGATCCAGTGCCTCTCTGATGGAGCAATTCTTTCCAAGTCACCACTTACTCTTTCCTCACCTAGCAATCTCGCGCCTCCTAGTGCTTGTAGCTCTCTAGTAGTTATATAATTCCGTGATTGATAAATATAGCTGCAATTGTTCATTTCATGCAATCATACATTACAGTGACCAACAGCCTGATTAACCTGTTTCAACTGGGTCGAAATCCAACCGGGGTGAACCCTTCCGTGACTACACCTCCTGCGCGTTCCCAGGTCTATCTGGGGATATAGTTCACTCAAGATTAAGCATCTTCACTCATCTGTTCCTGTGCGTAGTATGATATGTGGTTTCCCTCCGATGTGTCGAGAAAGTCTACGCTCAGTAGAGCGATAAACATGCTGTAATGGAGAAGCGATAGACCAAAAAACCGTACGGGCAGTACCTGAGGGACCTTGTACAACCCATCGGCACTAGTAGAGAAGATTCAAAGACGAGATTCGATGACTTACATAGCAGCAGTGTGACAAGAGAACGGAGCCTGCCGTGGTCATGATCCGCAAGCCTATCTATCCCTTTATGACACCACCCATAAGATGGGCGTAGTTCTCAAGATTTAGCCTGCCAGTGGGCCTGCGCTCTTCAGTATTACCAAACTTGGCATCGACTTGTGACTTCCGTGCTGGTTCTCTGGTCGACTTCCGCAACCAAGGTTTGCCATCGTCAATAGGTTGTTTACCAATGCCGATGGGGCCTTCGCTCGTTTGGTCCTGCCAATATCCCGCTGTTCCCGTAGGTGCGAATTTGGCAAGCTCGAGTGCCCCCAATGCCCCCACGACCCAGTCCTGACAGTAGAGTTTTGTCGTCTTTCCCATATGCATCCAGCACCTGTACAGCTTCGAACATACGGGCGTTAGAAAGCTGAATCACCTCGCTTCTTCCATATAAAGTTGTGGATTCCACTACACGGCGTTGTGTATGGTAGAAAAATCTGATTTTTTTCTGACGTGGTAAATATCGCCCATTGTGTCGCCAGCTTTATAGGTCATGATGCCCCAATGCGTCGGGCGGTCTTCCCCCTCGGGGTCTCCTTTCCCGTAGATATTGACTGATAATATATGTGTTACCCCTGGATTTTCGCTGAAGATGCCATGGCTTGGCTGCTTGTCGATACCTCCTCCAGCTTCTAATTTGCAGGCATTGCGCATATTAACTATAAGAATAATGGATAGCTGTGGTTCAATAGGTATGAAGGTCAGGAGGAAGGCAGTGCCAGCTTTAAAGCGGAGGTAGAAGCCGCTAACAAGGTGCACTGGGGTGAATATAGACCTGAATCTATTATATTCAATATGGTTGATAAAGTAGGGGCATGGCTGGAGTGTGAGGGGTGAAAGAAAATTAGTTGAATCTTGATATATATTGTGAATTGCTGCATCTCGGGATGTCCTATTGAATTATTATAGGCTTCCAAATCCAACCAGGACCTTGAAAGCCCCTCAAGGGAGTCGCATATATTAGTATTAACCTTGAGTACTGCATGACAATAGCCCTGCTTTTGCGGTGGTTCTGAATGGAATTCACAACAGCATCCAAGGAAGCAATTAGCATGTTAGCCTAGACCTAAGTCGAGAAAGTTGTATATATTGTAGCTTGCTACATCATCATAAATTTGGCGAAAGGAGGTACAGAAGTCGATGATATAGACATTTAACGGCTTGCAGAGAGCAGGGGCGGGAATAGCCGTGCAGTGGACGGCATCCCCCTGTTGAAAATAATACCATAGAAGACAGTCCTCAGTTGTGTAACAATCAACTTCCGCACCATCATGTGTCAAAATTTGAAGGTATAGGCTGGGTTCGTTGCTGATTGAGTTTCTGGCTTCCACGGAGGAGAAAGAGGAGGATCAAGAAGAAGAGAGGCCGTAGTGAAGACCGAAAAGTATCTAGTGAAGTGCCTGGCTACAATGAAATTTCAAAGCTCTTCTGTGAATGTCACTGAAAGATGAGATGGGGTATGAATATAGTTCATGGAAGAAGTCAAAGATCATAGAATACTTCGGTCTTGTACCTCTCGTGCTTATAGCCTATCTAACGTAATAATACTTCTCTTGGCCTTCTACTACAGCTGCTTGAAGTCCATCAGCTTTACTCAAAAATAGGTTGATTGCAGCAGCAGAAGTAATCCTAGAGAAAGCAAAATAGTAACTAGAAGACTTCTAGGTGGGTCCTATCATTCAACCACCTATTCAAAACATTGCGATGCCATTCCTTGTACTATGTATTATATCCCATCATGCAAAAAGTTGCTTCGGTGATACTTTATCACTGTTAGATAGAGCTTCCCAGCCTAATAGTCTGGATTTTCATTCAGGCCAAGTATTTCTTAGAAATGGAATCCAGATCATCATATAACACCATGTTCACGGTGCCATGTGTTTGAGTTGTCTTATTAGATAATCTTGTACAACTCTAGAAGATCGATGTGCGTTGGCGACCTTCATAGGAGACGGTGATAGCGAAATTTACTCCGCCGTCCTATATTGAGTATGAGATCCTGAGAGGTAATCTCATACATATGCCACTAGTTTCATAGTCTCTATGATATTGTGTCCTTACCCTTTTTGGTTTCTATTTGTAGCTCTATAATGAACCAAAAGGACGAAGAAGAGAAGACAACGAAGGGGACGTACTTTAGCTCACGCGTAAATCAACTGCAATTTTATACTGTCTAAAGGTAAGGAGTGATGTAGTTCCAGCATCAAAGATGAAAAGCAGTTTATACATAGTCGCCATGTGCTTTAATGATTGAAGCAAGAAGTGTTCAGACAGGGAAGCAATTTCCGTAATGAACAAGGGTGCTGTGCAGAAGTTGATTTCATCATACATACTTGGATATGACCCTCCAAGCACTTGAACAACAAGTATTCAAAAATAAAGTAGGCTCACAACATATTGTGATGATTTGGACAATGGCTCATAGAATACAGAAAAACCACAAAAAGACAAAGACCCGGACTGCAAACCACACATTGAGAGAGAAAGAAGTGACCTGATTAAGAACAAAGCACTCCACATAGAACAAAAGATGCACAGAGTACTGGAATGAACGGCCTTATTTCAGGAAACGAAGTCAAGACGACGAAACAAAGCATACCAGACCAAAAAGAAAGAATTCGATTGGTTTATGTTAAACATAACCGATGGAAGGTTCCCGGCTAGGTGCAGGTGTATCCCGGAATACCAGTCACTGACTCCGAGATAATTCTGCCGGGAGGGTTACATCCCTTTCTACCGTTGTATTCGTAAAAGCGCCCTACATACTGAGTCAGTGATAGACCTGAAATGTTAGAGTACTGGTGCTTTTACATACCGTCAGCGCATTGGCAGTATGTTTCAGAGAGACCGCAACGAGGGGAAGCACTATGTTATCAGTCAACGAATGTATCTCGAAAATGCAACAGAAACTCATCATGGTCCTGAGATAGTATCATACAAGGGATAGCAACCGCTGGCAACGCCACGAGTCCCGAGACCAGTTATTGGCGTGTCTTGGCCTTCGCCGGTAGGGGCAGCCAGTGCTGGGAGCATGATAGTCATGATAGTGGAAATCATAAAGAGCTTCATTTTGGCGAGTAATATGGAGCGTTATGGTGTATAGAACACAGTACAGTGAGTGTATAATGTGGCTTTGATTGCATGTGAAGACATAACAGTAAGGGTTACAGCTGGACTATATATCTTTTAGTCTGAAGTCCAATAGACAAAGGGATTGAGATGGCTTTGTACAAACAGATGGTGCCATGGATAAATAACCTTTGCTGAATACAAAGCACAATGGATTGATAGGCCATCGTGGGATAAGTACCTATCAGTTGGAAATAGTTATCAATGGTATTCATGGTCTCTGGGAAGAAAAGCAAAGAAAATTCAAGGTATTTCAGATGACAACAAAGGATAGGATTAGAGCCTAACATCGTCTGAGTACTACTTGTGCATCTGGAACTGATGTCAGAAGGTAACTAATTTCGTGCAAAGAGGCTAGTAATTGTCTGCTCAGTAACTGTGCAAGCCTGCGTGTACTTCTACTTCGCAATAAATGCAGACATGGGTCTCAACGAGTCAAGTCCAACATGCGCCTTGATAAATGACCTTGCCCCCCAATGCGCACACTATAGCCAAGAATAGCTTAAAGTGGAAGACGGTTGATGTGTTCAAGGAAGACGATGTGTTGGAGTGGAAGGAGAAACTATTCTGGCGCTATCACATGACCTATCTTTGTAACATATTGTCCCGCTGAGAGGCAGTTGATGTTTAACTCTCCAGCCATCTTCCAATTCCAACCCATATACATCGAATCAAACTTCACTGGCATCCACCATGCTCAGAGCATGTTATACTTGCCGGCGGAGGCATGTCGAGTGTCAAATGACCCAACCACCGTGTAAGAAGTGCCAAAAGGCAGGCCTTGAGTGCCTCCAAAAAAGACCCCTCCGGTGGGTCGACGGGCCGGCTTTTCGGAACAGAATGCGAACCTCGCAAGCCCATCACATGAATCAAGGCAGTGCCCTCGACAAACCTCATCACAAGATGCCTTCTCGTCTTGAAGCTGGTCTGGCGGCACCAACCTTAGAGGCAATAACCCCTGTTGGAAGAAACGGACAGTCAACCAATTCGCAAAACGGAGGTCACAGCAGCATCCATATAAGCATTCCACCCAGTTTGAAGGATCCGGCCTTTGAGAGCCTGGATGATGCTTCCATGTATTACTTGAATTACTGTCAGTGTGCTTAAGCAAATGCGATGTGATTCACACCTAACGACACAGTCAGATAGCAGATGTGTGTGCAAGTTGTTTGTCATGTTCGACAGTCAGCGAAACCCTTTGAGGCAACTCATTCCGGCAGCGTTGGCTAATCCAATCTTGACTGCTTCGGTCATGGCTATATCAGCGCGCCACATGGCAAACGGTCAGCAACTATATTGTGAAAGGCAAGATGGAGACCACGCGACGCGCTTTCAGGCGCATCCTGATGGTTTGATGTACAAACAGAAGGCCATACGAGGGTTAATCCAGGCGCTCAACGATCCAGTACCGAAGTCACGAGACGTTCTGGTTCTGAGTGCGTTCATATTGATCTTCCTCGATCTCTTGGAATCGGGGCGCGACCAGTGGAAATCCCATCTTGGTGGCATCAAGCAACTTGTTCTTGACATGCATAATGCGGGAACTTCGCAGAATCTAGAAGCAACCATTGACGGCATGCGGGAATTTATCCTGGGGCAAATCTACCTGTAAGGCTTCAGTATCAAACCATAGGATGGAATGTGCCGTTTTGACATGTTGTCCGTTCCAGTATTGAAACGCTTGGCGCTACATTTTCCGGTCGCAAAGTATTGTCCGGGGCGGATAAGTCCCTCGCTGCACCGCTACAAATGAGTATCGACAGGGCCTATATCGGTTGCCCTGAGTATCTGCTATCTGCTGTTCGCTTCTTCTCAGCAGCCAGGGACCGCTTAGCTGACCCAAGACACCTTGATACGCCTGAGACATACTCTTTGCTACAGTCAGTCACAAGTGTGCTTAACTCTACCAACCTCTTCGATTGCTACGGTTGGGCGAACCAGACTCTACGAGTCTCATCCCTCACTCCAACAACAGAGAATGTACAGTCGCTGGAACATTTAGCCCAGGCTTATAAATCTGCAACTCTGATATACGGGTGGCGCATCTGTGATGCACTAACGGGAAACAACACTCCATTGAGTGTCTTGGTAACAGGGCTGGTCCACGAGGTTGACATGTTAAGCAGGGATGAAGCGCTATTTAAATGCATACTATGGCCACTTTTCGTTGCTGGGCTGGAGTCTAAAGACCAAGCCCAAAGAAGTCACGTCAGGAAATTCCTGGAGAGCTTTTGGTTCGAAACCAAATGCATCAACGTGATAAATGCGGTAACAATACTAGAGAGGTTTTGGGTGGACCCATCGGAGGTGGAAGACGCCTCAAGCAGCTGGATTTTTCGAATGGGCCAGGTAGAAGGCGACTGGCTACTAATCTAATGCACGGGCTGCGGTACAATTTCACAATATGAGACGTGCCATTATGGCCACTGGTTGTCAACAAAAGCTCAGTGAAAATGCGTTGTGCCGTTGTGCCTTCAAGAAGATGATCACAGTGAGGAGAAAACGGAAAGATAATCGGACATCAGCGCGACATGACCCGCTGACGGATATCTATCTTGCCATTGGGTACAACGTGACAGCCCCACTCCAAAAGACTGCCTAATCGAGTAATCTAAATCAGTGGGGCGCGCCGATTCCGCTGCCCCAGGCCTGCAACATTGTGAACCAGATAAACCAGCAGAACGCCACGTCGAAATACTACTGAAAGAAGTTAAATCGCGACGACAGGATGACGAACATATCAGCGTGGTCTGAGCAGGATGCAATAGTCCAGCGCTGAGCTGTAGGATATATAAAGGTCTGTTTCGACATTCCGGCATTGAAATGAACAGCCCTTCGAACAGGACAACCACTCCTCTTCTAGTCCACCTAGCACTAAACCATCATCATCTCCTATAACTAAACGAAATGTGCAACGACGAAATAAAGGCCAACGGCTGGTCCAGCATGCCCGCCAATGCCGGTGCCATATTTACAGACCAATCCTTTACCGAAAGGGCAGAAGCCATGCAGCTCGATACGATCAAATTCCCCTTCGACAATCCTGTCGTTTCAAAGACGTTGGCATACGCCAAGGCTGTCCTTCACCCCCAGACATTGAACCATTCCATGAGAGTCTACTTCTACGGTATGTCTATAGGCAACACATCAAAGTGTATGTACTCATTACGTCATATAACCGCAGGAATGGTAATCACCACCCAGCAATTCCCCGAAATAGCAGCATCCGTCAACCCGGCCACCTGGGCGTTAACCTGCCTCCTCCACGACATCGGCACTGCAGAGGAGAACCTAACCACAACGCGCATGTCATTCGATATCTACGGCGGCATCAAGGCCCTCCATGTGCTGAAGGAGTTTGGTGCCACTGCTGACCAGGCCGAGGCCGTTGCTGAGGCGATTATTCGACATCAGGATATGGGCGTTGATGGAACGATTACCTATTTCGGACAGCTTATTCAATTAGCTACGACATATGATAATACGGGAGTTCATCCGCATGTGAAGGGTTTTGAGGGCTTGGTTCATCGGACAACTCGCAAACAGATCAATGAGGCGTATCCGCGGTTGAAGTGGTGTGAATTTTTCTCGGGGGTGATTAGGAAGGAAGAGGCGATTAAGCCTTGGTGTCATTCAACCCATTTGGTGGACTTTGATAAGGAGATTGAGGAGAATGCGCTTATGAGGGTGTGGGAGTGAAGGTGTTCATAAATTGGCCGGGGTGGCGCTAAGACAGAACTATGTCTCAGTCGGCTATGTCGTCTTTGAAATGGAAATATAATGCAAGGAAATATCGTGAGATATGCAGATGCTACAGCTAGTCTCTGAAGGCAATAATCATGGAACAACAAGTACAGGAAGACTCTCAGCTCCACCACCAAACGTAATGCTTCCGATAACCCTCACAGCCCGTCGAGCGGACGCCAGACCTTCATCCAGCGCTACAGTCACGTCAGTCATTGTTCCGTGGGATTTATGCCTCCAGAACATACCTTGTCATACGGCTCATTTGAATTCACGAATCTGAGATCAGTAGCCAGCCGAATCCTCCTTCCAGGGTCCTTGTTCTTGCAGCTAGCATGCACCAGGAAGGGGTCAAGATCACATCCCCAGCTTCATATTCCGTAATCGACCACTTACGCTTGGCATTTTCGCCATATGCGACCGTATCACGACTGAGAAATCCCCCATCGTTCATGTTCTTATTAAACGCCGAGACACGCTCCTCATCAGTCAGATTTGCTGCATTCCGTGCGAATTCTTCCTCGGTCTGTCGACCGATATCAACAGATTTCTCAAGGTACATCAGCCCACTGCCCTCAAGCGAAACATCTCCAATTGGGACCCAAGCTGTAAGGCTGGTGGGCGGACCCGCGCGAAGATACATCTGATCGAAATGGACAGGGGTCAACTCGCTGTCGGGCACAAAGGCACGAAGCATTGTCCGCTGAAGCATCGTGATGTCTTTCCATTCCGTGAGTTTTCGGATGAAGTCACGTAGCTCAGTACTCTCGCACAATTGAAGGTAAAATCGCTCCTCGTGCGCCTTGATCATCAGCTCCACATACTTATCCGACTCATAGTCGTCCTTGAGGCCAAAGAGTCGTCGCAGGTTTCCCGGGGGCAAGAACTTGCGACTATCTTTGTCACTGAATATTCCATCGACGGGGTCTGTTCCTTCTCTGAGAAGGCCAGATGGCGACATGTAAGAGAAATAGTCGCGGCGGCATTCGAGAACCTGGTCTCGCGGAAGTAGATTCTTAACCTGAACTTGTGTTAGTATGGGACGTATGTTGATTGAAAGGAGCGACTTACGAATAAATACCCATCGCGAATAAGTCTCTCCCGCATGACCTCAATCGGAGTGTCTTTCGATGTGGGTTGGAGGTATCGGATCTTCTCCGGGAGCATGGGCCCGAAGTTAGATTCGAGTTTGAGATTCTTGGGATCTGTAGGATAGTATTCTCCGTATCTGTCATCAGGAGGCAGTTTGCAAGCGCTGGCTACGAGACGAGCGGAGGTAAAGACCTCGGATTCACATAGAGTCGTTGTTGACATTTTGTGGCAGGGGTCAAAGAGCAATTGATAATGGATGCACTTCGAGTCAATCTGAGAGAATGTATCAATCGACTCAAGAGACTGGATTCAGAGAAAATTCAGATTGATGGGCGTGGATGAGTTCTCCTTGATATAGGGCCAACCATCGACAAACAAACCTACAGCCGTCTATTGCCGACACTGGGGAACCCCGCATTTGTCCCGCACTTCTACAGCCGACGACTCTCTCATCCCCAATTCTCTCTTTGACCAGAATTCAATTAATCCGTCCAACGGTCATGACACGAAGTACCGGCGCAAGGCTCTACCGGGCATGTCTTCGTTGTCGACAACGGAAAACTAAATGTGATTTGTAGGTACTGCCCATATCACATACCTTTTATTGCTTCTCACATCCACTATCCCAGGAAATATACGGGCGGAGGAACCCATGCGCCATGCACAAAGTGCAATCTGGAAGGACACCAATGCCTACCAGCTACCTCCCGAAGAGGAGGTGACTACTCTCGATATCGGGGTCGTCGTCGGGGAAATACCGAGACGCAGACCCCGAGGTCCAGTGAGCATAGTGAAACCACAGAATTACAATCGAATGGCTTGCAGGCGGAGACGGTGGGCGTGGACAATGATGCCTTTTTCCGTGGGGGCGTCCGGAATCCCTTAGAAGCTCTTCAAATCCTTGCTCAGACAGCCGCCACCGCGGGGGAAGATGTCAGCATACCTTCGCCCGAGAGGACCCCTCCAAGATCTGATGACACAGAGCATGAGGTGGTGAAGCCTGTGCCTCCTAAGCCTTACAACAAGGCTAAGGCATCCATAATGGCCACAGAGATCATCAAGGAGGGAGTCATCGACGTACACGACATTGAACCCCTGGTACAGTAGTATGTCCCGCTTCCATGGCTGATAGTGCCTGCACTAACACATACGGTACAAATAGCTATACCATAAACTACCATCCTTATTTTCCAATCGTGTCCAGCAGTCTATTACACGCAGAAGACCCTGACCACCAATGGGCTACCGAGATTTTTCTCCTTACCTCCGTCCTTACAATAGCTACTCAGAACAGGCCGGATCAAAAGCACCTTCATGACCGGATCAGGGGGTATATCGACAAGCTAATACTTCGTGTGACCCTTGGTGCTCGGAGCGTGCGACATGTTGGCACTGTTGAAGGCTTGCTGCTCCTGGCCGAGTGGATGCCACATCTGATGCTTTCCCAGGATCAGCCTTACAGCAACAACTCTGAGCAGAGCAATGCATATGACGAGGACTGCGTAGCATGGAACCTGATAGGCCTTGCAGTCAGACAGGCATATCTATTACATCTAGACACACAATCCTTTCCTTTCGAGGTGGAATCCGAGCCACGTAGTATGCGCTGCCGGAGACGACTGGCGTGGATATGTATGCGACCCCACATCATAGTATCATAACAAACAACTAACTCTGCTAGTTACTTATCTCGCCGACCGGCAAATATCAATCCAAATGGGCCAAGCATTTTGGTCCCGCGGACCTAGTCTATCAACCCGATTCCGCACCCAAGATTACCCATCCCTCCAACCGGACGTCACTGGCGGTACGGATTACGCCTCCTTCGTCCAGGCCCAAGTAGAACTAACAACTATCTTCGGGAACACCCACGACATTCTCTACGCATTGAAGTCTCGCACATTGCAGATAATGGTCGTTGGCGACTACTCCAAATACCTCGATGATTCCTCCAAAGCAATGGAGATGTGGAAGGAAACCTGGTCGAACGTCGACATTCCCCCGTCTCTGCACTGTCTCCTCAACCTCCAATTTCGGTACCTACAACTCTACGTCAACGCATTCGCATTCCAGGCAGTTCTATATCGCTCCTCTAAAACCATCACCAACACGAGCCATGAAGACAACACACCATTATTCCCCGACAGCGTTATGGCCAGTCCCGATGCTCGCCACATCTACGCAGCCATCAGCGCGGCCAGAGATTTACTCCAAGCATTCGTGGAAGAGATGACCCCATCCGCCATTGTGAAGTTTCTTCCTGTTCGCTATTACCTGTGAGCCTTCCCCCTCACTCCTCCAATTGGCATCCACTAACAATCCAGCTACGAAATCTACGCCTCCGTCTTCCTGTTCAAAGCCTACTCCGTCGGAGCCATCCCTCCCGACGAATCCCAAACATACTTCAACCTCACCCGACAATTCATCTCCATGCTAAAAGCCGCTGCTACAAGCCAAACGCATATCGCCCATCGCTACGCAAAATTACTAGGCCATCTTTGGTGTCATGGGAAAGTTACTCCCGAGTTGCACCAGGGTAGGGACATCCAAGAGGACGAATATACTACTCTGCAGCAGTATGCCGCTGGTGCGCCTGCGGATTCTGACGATTCACTCCAGCCAGTCAATGTGGATACTGATTTGATGGATGTGTTTTCGGGTTCTTTGCCGCTGGATCTAGGCCGCTCTTGGGATTCTGATTTTTATGATGAGACGCTATTTTCCAGTTTGCCGTTCTTTCGTGGGTTTCGGGATTTGGAAGGTGATTATGTTGCCTGAGGCGAGCTTTCTGGGTGTGCGATGTACTAGTTCTAGGTGTTGTGTGTCTTTTGATGGACTGCCTGTATGGATTTCAGATCGTGAACAGCGCAGCGCAACATGAATGAGGAAAATGAATCATGGTTAAAATTTTCCTGAAGGATAGTCCATTATCCTATTAACTAAGTGTAAGTGCCAGACTAACGATTCCAAATGCCACGATTCATGTGTCTTATACTACTACCACATTGCTGACGCCATCCAAGATATATATTTACCAGTAACCAAAGAGCTTCAAGTACTGCTTGACCAGTTTCGCTTTGCCCTTATACACCTCATCCGGGTTGGCATCAGCTGCTGGATCATCACGGTACAATCCTCGTCCTCCAACAGCTGCACAAAAGCCAAAAAATGCAACCAATGTCTCTGCTCCCTCCATATCTTGAGGCCTGTCTACCTCTGCCATGTGCAAGGCCTCGTATAAATTCTTCGCAATGTTATAGTGACATTGTGCACCCATACCGTCATTATAGTATGCATAGTTATCTAGATCTCTCAGATCGACGTCCACGTCGCCATCTGGAAATCCCTCTAGGATGCATTGGGACATAACACGGCTGTCCTTATCCATGGGAAATAATAGCGCGCCATGTAGGCTGTTGTAAGAGTAGATGAACTCCTCCAGGGGATGGCCGAGGGAAGCATAGTTCCAGTTGAGGATGTAGGATATGATGGGGGTTTGATCTGGTCTTTCGGAGACTAGAAAATTCCCAAGTTCTAGACTTCGTGTTAGCTAAGGGCTCACGGATTGATGATGCCTCAGGGGCATGCTTACCGATCCTGTTCAGGGTGAATGTTGGGCGATACTCAGGTATCTCAGCCACTACATCTGTAACAGACTGTTCAACGAATGCCTCAAGCTTCCTTCTTAGCTCGGGGCTCCTTCTCCAGCCGTCGATATCTGGTTGCCTTTCCGCCCTTCTCAAATCTCGCCGCAAGAGCTCTGTGAGATAACTCCCTAAGTTACGAAACGGACCTCCGACGCCGTTCATAAGAGCCTCTCCAGAGCGAACATATCCTTCCTCTGAAAATGCGAAACCCCCGTATCCCTGACTTATAGCCATGTGGTCATAGTCTTGAAAGAGCTTGTGTAGTGTTGCAATCTGTCCCAATATCTCGCCTTGGTGTTCCGAAGACATTTGATAAAACGACTGACTGAGTGGGGCATCCCCGGGTGGATGGGAGCTATGGATAATCCATGCCTTGTTATGTTCATCATCGCTTCCATCGCTCCATGCATATACCTCAGGCACAGTGCGGAGAAAGACGGTGTTGTAAAGAATTGTTCGCGCCGTATACATAGCAGCGACCTTGTTCTCCGCCCAGCGCGTCTTGTCCATGTTTTGTTCAGGTATTTTGAACTGTATAATTACTTGTTTCGTTCCTGATGGCATGCGTGCCACTCCAGGCTGTTTAGGAGTATCGCGTATGTTCCACATAGTATGGAGGAAATAGACTTCATATGAGATGGTATTTGCGTTGTAGTCAAGAATGGGAGCGCGCTCCACTCCGTCAACGGTGATACCAAAGGTCTTTTCCACCAATTCTCTGGCGCGAGCATCGAGCCTGGATGCTCCTGTATTAGATGAAGGGGGTGATGGTGGGAAGGTAGATCCGGCCATATTGAACAATTTTTGCCGACTGTGTATTAGTGAAGTAGGCCGATTATGTTGAAAATGAATCCGATGAGTGTGATGAGCAGGATGGAGAGACTTACTCGGGACTATTTAAGGACAATGAGACGGTTGGCATAGGAATTATCATTATATTTAGTCTGCAATTGCTTGGACAGGGTCGAATATTGTATTTGAAAGAATGTGTCAAAGAAAAAAAACGAGCGTAAGTTTAAGAGGGAAGGTGGTAAAGCTATAGGGATATGCCTCTTCTAGTATTGTTTTCTGTTGGATCATGTCCGTGATGCTTTGTGAGCTCTATACTCAATATTCTCCCAAAAGTGGCAGGTACCGGTCTCGCCGACCAATATAGAAGGTTTGTCCCAGACCTCGCTGGGTATCACTTGAGTTCTTTATGGCCTGAAACCGTTATTTCCTCGTTCACCGATATCATGATCAAAGGATAAGCGTAGTTGACAGGCATCATTCCCGCCCACCGTACGCGTTTCGACGCCTGTCGTAAATGCCACGACGTTTCGAAGGAGATTACCGATGGCTCAGGCAAATCGATTCGTCGACATTGAGTCATGATTTAGCTCTGACAGCTTATACTCTTCCTGTCGTACTATCCTCGCTCAGTAAGTTGTCCTCATGTAGTCTGATGTCAATGTCATCTGTCTGGTTCAATGCCGGGAATATCTCTGAATGTCTTCAATTGACAAGTTACTTCAGGACCTAAATTGAAGAAGGTTTACAGTCAATGAGTTGATTTACACCACTTCGCTGTGGGCGTGATGGTGTAAACCGAACTGATATACCTGGAGCAGGAACACTAAAAGCTTGAGGATTTTCGCTAAGCTTTGCCGCTTTATTCCATTATCGTTCTTTATAATAAATCAGACTAATACAAATTTAACATTGGTTATGCATCGCCCCGAATGTACACCCACAGGTGGAAGGCACATGCCTTATCGACAAGCCAAATTCCGTGTTACCACGGACAAGTGTTGCCACGTTCGCTGCACATTAGACCTGGACTGATAATGCTATCCCTGGACATGAGTTTGGTTATGGCTAGACAAACACGTGGCAAATACTAGGGTTCTAGAACAGCAAAAGCCTAACCTGTTAGCCCCATCCTGAGAGGAATTGTCGAGTATGCCATGTAGACAACCCCTAGCATTCGTATCCAATGTCATGGCGAGCAGACGGTGAAACAGGGAGACAGATCCAGTTTATTTTACTCCGAGTATAATGTAGCTACTCCGCGTCACACGCAACAAGTGTAGTGGAGATAGTGGGGTGTGTTGTGATGATGGGAATTGTTGCCATCGGAGTGAGTGCGAGATGCACTCTGTGTGAGGGGATGATTTGTAGTATCTTAGTCACTCTTCTGCCTAGCCATGCTGCGGGGCGATCAATATTCACATGGCAATCCTTCTCATACAAAATCAAGAAGCTCGTTGGTCTAGCTGGATGCCATGGCGTTGGCAGAGAGGATAGCTCCCAACTCAAGCGAATCACGGAACGAGCATCGGCAATTGTCAGCTGGGAGCCTCGGTTCGGGATGCAGGATTAGCAGCAATAGCAGCAACAGGGCTCTTATATAATGGACAGGAACGACCCTGACAGACGGGCCAGACGCAAGAGACCGGCAGTGATGGATGGCAGTCAACTACCGCCGATCCACCAGATGGAGCCCTCACATTGGTTGACACTCCGGGGACCCCGCGCTACCCCAACTTTCTCCCCGGACTAGTCTGCCTTAGGCTGGTCCCTTATCATTAATCCTCATCAAACTCGCCAGCCAGCAAACACGCGGCCATGAATCGACTCGCGCTTCCGGACAAGTCATCCCCGATCGACTTGGGCCCCCTTAGTGGGGTGGGTTAAATCCCCAGTTGCCTGCTGCTCCTCGTGGCTATCGTACGATCGTGAAGACTGTCTCTCGAACGCATCGTGCCACCCTGCAGCACCCAATCTAGCCATCCAATGTCCAGCATGTCGCTCGAAGATTCCACCAAGTCTCGGTCGGACTACATCGAAAAGACTGAATTGGGCGATCTGAGCACGGAATTGCCTGGGAGTACCCTTTCGGAGCCGCACAAGGCATATCTGCTACAGCGACATGGCACGTTAGATCTGGATCCGGTCCCTAGTATGGACCCCGCGGATCCGTACAATTGGCCCCTCCTGAAGGTGAGGAATCCCTTCTGCGTCGACAGAGATAACGGTAACTAACGAGTCAGAAAATCATCAATCTCCTTCTAGTCGCCTTCCACGCCTGTATGGGCACCTTTACCGCCGCAGCCGTCATCCCAGCCTACGAAGAAATTGCCGAAGATGTGGGTGTCTCTCTGCAGCGAACAAGCTATCTGACCTCTCTCCAAATCGCCATTCTCGGTGGTGCTCCTCTTTTCTGGAAACCACTCTCCCAGCGCTACGGACGCCGTCCTATCTTCCTCCTCTCGTTGATCCTCAGCTGCGTCTGCAACATTGGCTGTGCTAAGAGCCCGGATTATGCGTCCATGGCGGCATGTCGCGCCTTGGTGGCCTTTTTCATCTCCCCGGCTATGGCGATTGGCAGTGCTGTTGTCACGGAGACGTTCTTTAAGCGCGAAAGAGCACAATATATGGGTATCTGGGCGGTGATGGTCACTCTAGGAGTGCCTGTGGGCCCTTTGATTTTCGGATTCGTGGCTCAACGCGTAGGATATCAGTGGATATACTGGACTCTTGCTATTGTAAGCATCATGCCGCAACCTATAGGGGGACTAAAATTAACAAAGGGTTTTCTAGACCAACGCCGTCCAATTCATCCTCTACATATTCTTTGGTCCTGAAACACGATACATCGGAACCGACATGCACGCCTCCTCGGCCTTCAAGCACCAATACCTCTCCATTCGACGCATTGACCCTACTCCCTTCCAACTCGCCGAGTTCTACCATCCCCTCACCCTCATCACAAACATTCCCGTCCTCATCGCCTCTGCCGCTTACGCTATGGTCTTCCTCTTCGCGTCCGTCATGAATTCCGTCGAGGTGCCCCAACTGCTACAGTCGAAGTTCGAGCTCAACGCTGAACAACTTGGGTTGCAATTTCTGGGTCTCATTATCGGTTCGCTGCTGGGTGAACAGCTCGGTGGTGTTCTGTCGGACACTTGGATGAATCTCCGCGCAAAGCGGACCGGTCACAAGCCCGATCCCGAGTACCGTCTCTGGCTCAGCTATATTGGTTACTTGCTTACTATTGCCGGGGTGGTGGTGTTCCTGGTCTGCACGGAGAACGCACAGACCGGGAAATGGAGTGTCAGCCCGATTATCGGCACAGGGATTGGTGCGTTCGGGAACCAGGTTGTCACTACGGTGTTGATTACCTATGCAGTGGATTCGTATCCGGCGGATTCAGGGAGCGTGGGTGTATTCATCAACTTTATCCGGTCTACATGGGGATTCATTGGACCATTCTGGTACGTCTTTCCCGTATATTCCAGCTGAATTTCTGCTAATGGTGATTAGGTTCCCTGACATGTTCGATACCGTGGGAATTGCAAAGAGTTCCGGTGTGGTGACAGCGTTGCTGATGGGCGTGAGCTTTATCCCTACAGTGATCTTGCAGTGGCGGGGCAGCAAGTGGAGGACTGCTTAGCCCATATACCATAGATGACATTATATACATTAGTATGATAATGAAGTGAGATTCAATGAATCAACGGCCCTCAGCGTAGACTCTTTCCCTCTATGCTAATCACACCACTCTTATAGTAAAATTCCATCACATCTATCACCACATTACCACCCATTCCTCTCCTCCAATCCCCAAATCAAATTCAATTAACCGTATTCAAACACTGACTCCTCACCAACCCCCCCTCCCCATCCCTCCCAACCCTACTAGTCTGCACCGGCATCATCCCACAATCATCTAACACCCACGTCAACACCTTAACCACTTCCCCCTCCGTAACCCCCTCGTTTACTCCCAACTCGACAGCCCGGATCCACGGCGACGCCCCAAAACACATATTACACATCAACTTCCGTCTCTCCCAACACACCTTCTCCACCATGAAACTCGTCCGAAACGCCGATGAGTTCGACACCAGGATGCAGTCTCGGGGTGTTTTGGCGTCTAGTTCGCCCATTATGTCAATCTTGAGCGGGAGGTGTTCAGGCACGCATTCGATCACGAGCCAGGCGTCGCTGACTGCGGCGGTTATGTCGGGGGAGGAGAAGGGGTGGATTTGTCCGACGGGGCGGGAGATCAAGGGAAAGGTCGTGTAGTGTGGGAGATTCTCGGTTATGTAGTGTTGGGCCGAGTGTAGGGCTCCTTGGCTCGGGTCGTGGAGGTGGACGGTGTGGCCCGCTGCGGAAAAGATGCAGGCGATCCGGCGACCTAGGTTACCAGCGCCCAGGATGGCTAGGGGGCGCGTGTAGATTGTGGGTGGGGTGTAGGGGATGGTTGGCAGGTCGTCGATGTGGTCGGTGGGTAGGGTTAGAGTTGTGGTGTTGGGGTCGGTGGGTGGTGTGGCTGGGTTGGTTGTGTCTAGGTTCGTGAGGGACATTATGTGGCAGGTTTTAATGTATATGCGAGTGTAATGAGGAGAGGTATATTTGGGAGAGGTGGTTAGCTAGTATAGTTGTCTATATATGAAGCCATACCCCTAGCCACGACCGGTTTCTAACTCGGGCGAAAGCAGGATCTAATCCCCGGGAAGATATGGGATATGAACACCGTCGGGGTTCATTCTCAGTATTATGCAGACGCAACGCGGAGGGGATGAATTGTTCCTTGATGAGGAATATCCCACATGACATCATGGTAAGTGATCCTCTAAGGTGATGCCTGATCGGGATATAGATTGGAGATGAGAGTTCGGATCGGGGATATGGCTCCATGTGGTGGCTGACTTTTGGGACGGCTGTTGGGGGCACTATCCTATGACAGGGAATTGGAAATGTTTACCTGGTTAGGGTCTGCCGAGACAGGGTTTGTAGACCTGGAAATGTAAAGCCTAATTGGGTTGTTGGGATCATGCAACGCGAGAGTATGACGGGTATCAGTACTATGCACTTCAGCGTGTCTCGGGGAGTAGGAGGGGCCTGCTTTGAGCGGAAGTACTCATATGAGACTGAAGCCGTCATATCATGTATCTTGTGTTGCATTGTTAAGGAGCTGCCGTTGAGACTGGCGCGGCGCTTCCTGGAACTTCCGAGGCTTATAATCCCACCAATCAATTATGAAGCTTATCTCGAAAGGGAAATAGGGAGAATGGTTCCCTGCCTACGAGGGACTGCGTGAGTAATCTGTGGTCAGAGGTAGGAAGGGATTGCAGATGGGAAGATCTAACTGTGTCGGTCACAGCGGCATCTATCAATGATCGACTAAAATCCATTGACCCGAACGTGGGTTTATGTTTGCAGATCAAGTCCAACATCCTATGTGACATCTCAGTCTGCTAATACTCCCAAGCAGTTCAGCTTTGCTGCTCTACTGCTACCGACTTCTAACAGCTAATATCATCCGGCACATTCTCACAATCAGAGCTGGTCTTTCCTCCACTGACATCCACATCCGTCCAAGTCCAGTCCGTGCAGCTGTCTGATCCGCAAACAATGTAGATATTCGTACCCGAGCTCTCTACACTCCCCTGCACATTGTCCAGGACAAAATCTTCAATGGTAACGCCATCAGTCGGGGATTCGCTCGTATCGTCATAGTTCTGCTCCACCACAATGCCGTAGTCGGTGATATCGGACAGGGTGATCTCCTTGTAAGTGACCTCGCTGACCGACCCAGTGTCGCCGTA